AGTATGTGCCTTCCATACATTTTGTTTTTCCTGTATGGCTAGCTAGGCCACTTTTTTGAGTAATCACCGAGGAGACTTTTTAGTGTTCCAAGGTTCTGTGTGTTACATAGTGTTAATCTGTGAATCTCAGCATCTGTAAAACCTAATCTTGAATCAAGAATTCATATATTTTTTGGTCTTTATTCAGGACGTCACATCCATGACGGTGTTGTAACACTGAGCTTATGCTTGTTTGCTGCCTTACTTGATGTTGATACCCTGTAGCTCTTAGAACAAAGTCTTTCTGTGATTGCATCTACCTTGAAACCTCCTGTGATTTTAGGGTTCCATGGTATAGAAGACACCCTGTTGAAAGAAATTCTTTTAACCTGCATTGGGCTGTACTTATCAAATGCTTTTTTGAAATCCACTAACAATAAATAGAGAAAAAAGTTATGTGTCCTTCATCCTTCCCGGTTCATCTTCTGCAGAAAATGGTTTCCAAAAACCTGTTTGCTTCTCATATTTTTATTGATACCATTACATACATTACACACACACACACACACACACACACACACACACACACACACACACACACACTATCCTTGTAGAGATTTTAAAACAATGAAAAAATAGGACCAGTAGATGCTGGTATTTTTTTGTTTGCCCCTTTATTTTGGTAAGGGTACTGTCTGATCTTTTCCAGTTTTTTGGAGTCATCTTTGAGATACTTTAAAAAACTAATCTCTGATTGCCTTTAAAATTGTGTTGGCTCCAGCATCAATTTCATCTATGCTATGTTTGGTATGCTGAATCATCATACAGGATGAAAATGGACAAACCACCTGAATTAAAGAATTTTTTTTTTAAATTGGAGTGCAGCTGAAGTGGCTTCATTCTTCTGTAGGAAGAATTCTTTGTGTATTAGGTAGAGCACCGTGTGCACGCATGATTCAGGCGATTCTCAGAAGCATTTATTAAGCATCTTTCTGCACATGGTGCTAATTATTTGCTAATTACCAGTATATAGCAGTGAAGAAGCTTTGTTTCAAACTCTGTGGGGTAGGACAGGAAAGTAGGGGGCCCTCCATGGGGGTACAGCAGCCAGAGATTCGAATAGCTCAGCTGAACAGGAATGGTTAGCAGACTGAAGCTGAGCAGGAACTGTTTCTTAGCTGTAGGAGACCACCTATTTGCCAGTCCTGTGGCTGGGGCTGCACAGGGTTTATAACCATTTATAAATTCACATGTGAAATAGGAACAGCTTCCCCTTTAATTCCCCAGAATAGTTCTCAGAGAAAAATAGGACCTTTCTGTGTCGGAGTGGGAATTTTTTGTTTGTTTCTTGAGAGTTATCGACCCATCAGGGATAAAAACTAATCAAGGACTACATATAAGTAGAAAGCAACTTAATTTTTATGAAAGAAATATGAAATGTTCAGTTCATCTACTTTATAAACTTTTTTTGTGATCGATTTGGTAGCTGTCAAAAACAACAAGTCAAACAGACAAAACAAGGAGCAAAATCTTACCCATATCTCTAACCTATTAAGGCAGAAACAAGAGAATTAATGAATAACAGACAAATGAATGAGATGCTTTTGTTCTGTATCCTCTTTTAGACCTTTCTGAAATTCTGCCACCTTTGGCCTATCTTTCCTTCTCTTTCCAAAATGTAGTTGGAGTTAGTATGCATACAAGCTCTGGTTCTCCTAATTTTACTCTGGCATCCTATAGATCTTTCCGTATTTCCTTCCATTTTTTGGCACTATGATATTCTATTACAGTATATTGAATATTTTACTTAGGCATTTTGTTTTTTACACCCCCATCCCTACCTTTTCTGTCCCTAGAGTGTCCGCTCATATTAAAACACACACTCACACTCACATAATACAACCTCTAAAATACATTTAAGCAAAATTGTCTGGTATAGTAACTGCCTTTAACAAAATATAGCATGTTCCACACCACTATATTTTCACCAAGAAGAAAAAAAAAGTATTTTCTATTATTAGTCATCTGGAGTCAGTGTTTATCATTTCATTAGATCTTCATTCCTGTCTTTTAGTATTGTCTGCATTAACATTATTGTAGTCATGAATATATAATTTTTCCTGGATATGATTTCTTCATTCTGTATTAGTCCATATAAATCTCATGTGACCTTGAATTTCTCATATTCATAGTTCCTTACAGTAAATAGTATTCTGTTATATTCATACCCCCTTCCCCATTTGTTTAGCTATTCCTCAGGCAATGGGCATTTGCCTCATTTCCAGTCCTTTGTTGACACAAAAATTTCTGCTAGAACTATTGTATATATATATATATAAGACCTTTCTTTCGGTTGTTGCCCCCTCCTGGGGGTATATGCCTAACAGTGAGATTGATGGGTCAAAGAATATGTGTGGTCGTCACTTTTTTGTATTCCAAGTTGATTTTCAGAACAGTTCTGCCACTAGTGTGCCTGTCTTCCCGAAGCCCTTCGATATTCATTTTGATTTACTTCATGTGGTGCTTTTGTCTTTTACCATCCCTGCCAGTCTGATGGGGGTGAGGTCATATTTGTGCCTAGTCTTTCGTCAGCCACGTGGGGAGATTCTTCACGCTTGCTGATAGATTGCACTGGTTCCGACCCTTCGACTAGCAAATTAATATCTCACACTGTATTCAGCTCTTTGTTGGTTATATATTGCCTTTTTTTCTTTTACAAATAGAGCAGCTTTGAATGTTTTTGTACATATAGATCCTGTTCTCCTTTTTTATTATATTTTCTGGAATACAGTCAGCAATGGAGACATAGGGTCAGAAGGTCTAATGAATTTTATGACTCATTGCTTGTCAATCTGCCCTCAAGTTTATGTTCTTTTGAATTAAAAAACAGAGGAATACAAAACTTTAATCAGTTAATACGACAAATAATAGGCACATTCAGTTTATTTTTATAGCCAGAACATTGTTATCATATGTATGGTGGCAAACAAATGAAATTAGCCGGGAGTTGGTTAGATCTAACCAGGGTTTTCTCTATCCACCCTTCTTCATGTTGGGGAGGCCCGCTGCGTTGACAGCTTCTCTTTAAGACTGTCAGCTTCATGAGAGCAGGGACTGTGTCTTATTTATCTATTTATTTCCACCAGTGCCAAGCATGGTCCTGGGTGCATAGCTTCTCTTTTTTTCTTTAGTCTCACCTGCCAGTCAGAGATGTCTCTCAAGGAAGCCAGTGTCGAGGCTAGGGTGTGACTTCTTGTAGAGGGAGGAGCTGTTCCTCTCAACAAGCCTGAGTAGGTTCCTTGGGTTGGTCATACTTTTCTTCCTGTTGCTTTGTCCGGTCATAGCCCTGTCCAGTGCAGTGCCCCTTTATTTCCCATCTCATCCTCCTTTTGCAGTTACCAGGCTGCCAGCTATTGGTGTCGGGTCACAGCTGGAGCAGATCTGCTTTCTCCAAAACTAAAGAATCAGCTTCCTTCTGACCTCTTTAGGACAAAGGGGCCAAGGGCTGCCTGGTGGAGGATGTGGGGAAAACAGGAAATAGCAGATTTTCAGGGGCAGAGTTAGCTCTTCTGGGGAGGCTTCCAGGGCCCTCTGTACCACACCATTGTGGCCCTTCCACCAACTCCCTTCACCCATTCTTTCTTCCCCATGGCCCATGTAGAACACCAGAAGACCTGAGAAACTGTTCACAGTTTGTGCTTGGGTACACTTCTTATCCTAGAGGCTGAGATTCCTGAGTCCTCTCAACTGTAATGTCAGTCCCCATCTTCCTCCACCACTTACTTTGGCTGTTTTTATAGTATTCATAGCTTTTCTCTGTTCCTGTGAGATGGTCAGTCTGGAGAAGTCTCAGGCTGAGGAATAATAATCCAGTTGTGGCAAAGTGTATACAGGCAGCCAGGTGTTGGGTGGATGCAGTGGGTAGTAATGAATTTGAATCACAGCCAAGCATTGCAGTGGAAAGGGCACTAGGCTGGGTAGTCAGGATATTTGAGTTCCAGTCATGGCTTTACTACTTTTTGGGACAGTTCCCCAGAAGAACCTCGTCTGACTAGTTGGCCAAGGGGCAGCCATCTCCTGTCCTTGGATCTGGGCGTGGGCTTGAAGCTATTGCTTTTAGGCAGTTAGATGGAGGGACCAGTGAAGAGTGCTGGCAGAGTTCTGGGATGAAGGGCCTCCAGTCCATACCACAAGACCAGGCCGCACTCTCTTATTTGCCTTCTACTTGTCTTTCCCTTCTGGGAAAGTGAAGGGCCAGCTCTCCATGGAATCAGATCAAGGTATCTCAACATGGTCTCTAAGGGAAATGTTACCCCTTTCCTGTCCCTCATCACTGCTTTCTTTTTAGCTTCTGTCTTGACAACTTTCCTGGGGTGCAGTAACCCTTTTTCTATTTAGCTACAGTCCAGAGTGGATAATGGTCTCAGAGTCAGGATATCTAAGTTTTAAGACCTACTTCTGCCATGTAACAGGTGTGGGACCTTGGGGAAGTTACTTCTCACTGAGCTTTTCAGTTTCTTCATCCATAAAATGGGGTTAATAATATGGCTGTGGTGAGGAAGGCTTTTTGCAAACGTTAAAACAGTGTAAAAATGAGAACTATTGCCTCCCTTCCAAACCTTGTGGAAAACTCCTTCAAGAAATAGTTGCTTATTAAACGTGCATGGTCCTGTTACACCATTCTGTCATAGCTTTCCAGCCCCTAACAGGCTGTGATTTGGGGTACACTTTAGGCCCTTCCTTACAGTAGAAGCCCTGGAGGTGACAGGCTACAATGTTGTTGGTTTGGTTTTTTTTAATGAGGCAATTGGGGTTAAGTGACTTGCCCAGGGTCACACAGCTAGTCAGTGTCAAGTGTTTGGTCTGAGGCCAGATTTGAACTCAGGTCCTCCTGAATGCAAGGCTGGTGCTCTATCTGCTGTGCCATCTAGGTGCCCCAGGCCACAATGTTATGAGGCATCAGAGGGGGTGGGGTTTGGCAAGTGTGTGAATCCTCTCATTGCCCTTTCTACTCCCCCCAGATCCTGTTCATCTCAGATTATTTCTACGCCTTCCTGCGGCGGGAGTACTACCTCACTCATGGCCTCCACCTGAAGCGCCAGGATGGGACTGAGGCCATGCTGGTGCTCAAGTAGTGAGGGGCCAGCTGGCCCTGCTGAAGATGGACTCCTCTGAGACCAAGCTGGGGAGAACTGGGGGTGGGCTGAGCTGCTGCGCCCCCTCCCCTCATCTTGGCCCTACTTTGGGGAGGGCTTGGTTTAGAGGTCAGGGGGAGCTCGTGATGCCTTCACAGACCTGGATCCTTGGAACTCCAAACAAGAGAACAACTATCAACAAAGGCCCCTTTGGGAAGTGAAGCCTTCAGCATGGAGGATGAATAGTCCCCAATTGGGAAATGGCTGAGTCTGCCTTGGGCCCCTCCTCCTTGGGGAGCAGTGGAGGGCCTTGGGTGAGTTGTCTCTTCTCCCTGGAAACCACGGTTTCAGCAGGTCCTTCCCCCATCATTCCCCCAAATCCTAAACCCTGTTTTGTCTCCCTTGCTTTCCATAGATTATTCCTTGTCCACCTCAGCAAGGTCCAAGTTACCCGTGGTCTTTATTCTCCCAGGCCAAAGTATTCCTTCCTCTGCCCTTTATTCTCCCAAGCCAAAATCTATTCCGACATACCCTTCCCCTTCCCTTTCTCTTGAGCCTGGATGGCCCCTTTCCCTGTGAACCTAAAAGTCAGGCAGAGCTTTGGTGTGTTATTGATGCTGAATAAATGTCTTTTTCATAGTCAATACTGGTTGTCTGTGGAAATGAGAAAGGGCTAGGGAAAGCCAAGCTGGGGAGCAGACTGAAGTGAGGGTACAGACCTGAGTTCTGAGGCCTGTACTCCAGTGGGTTTATCTGCCCTTGGACCTGGAATGGAGGCCCACACCCCTAACGTAGTCCTGGGCTATTGTGCTGGAGGCCCAGGACCTCAGGGCTAAGTGTCAGGGAAAGATAGCAGAGGCTCAGAGCTTGTTGGGGCAGTGGCTAAAGAAGGCTCCTTGGGTCATTTTGCTTTTCTCCCCAGCCATCCCTCTTTTCCTTTTGGGATAGAGGTTTAAAATCAGCCCCTTATGTGTGTGTAAGACTTAAAATTTTACAACACAGAACTTTGTGTGCATAGGCACGTCTTTCCTGAACAGGCCCTGCCCCCCCAACTCCAGGGAGGATGCTCATGCTCCACACACTAGCTGGTCTTGTTACGGAAGGTGCTTTGGGACTCACAGGCCCATTAGAGCCAAGACAGACTACTGGGGAAGTGCCTGTTTGAGGGTAATAACCATGAGTGCTGGCTCAATGATAATGAGATAGGGTTTCTCATGTGGCACTGAGAAGAGTCCTGTCTTGGAGTAACAAGGATGTATTCTGAAGGACACATATTTGGACATGGAAATCAAGTTCCCTGCCTGCAGAAGAGGCATGTGAATACCAGCCTGAGGGATGCTGGAGATACAGCAGCCAGGCAAAAGTTACATCTTAGGCCAGGAAGTCGGCTGGGTCAGTCACTTTGTGCCTGCAGCTCTGGAGGAGGGAAAGGGCCCAGCATCTTATCTGCATTTAGTGTCCAGAAGGACCAGGCTGTGTCGCTGTGGAGGCAGAGAGGGAACACTGGCCCAGAGCTGGGTAGGACTTGAATTTCTCTTTATTTATACAGAGTAACGGGAGCTCAAATAGGCTGGTTCTCCAGGACGCTGTGGTACATAACATGGAAGGAAGAGCAGGCAGGGTTGTGGTCACAAGGGGAAAGCCCAGTCCTTGAAGTGGCTGCCAGCACGGGATGGGTCCCAACTGCATGCAATAAAGATGGGAGGGACAGGTGCCTAAAAAAAAAAAAAAAGACCAGAGCCAAGGTAGGGCCAAGGCCCACAGGTGCCCACCCCCTCCCCCCCATTTCCAAAACTGGGAGGGGGCAGCCTCTATATTCTATATATCTATATTCTCATCCCCCCCTCTACAGACACACAGACAGACAGAGCGGCCCCCAAGGCTCTAGCATCTGGGGGTAGCACCGAGAGTTGATATGTGTACAGAGTTGGGGTAGATGAAAATTCCTTGTTGACACAGGATGTCTTCTGTTCTGCTCCAGCCCTGGGTGGGCAAAGTCCTTAGTTTGGCATTGATCTAAGCCAACCACTCCTGCTTTGGGTCCTGGGGAACGGGCCCAGAAAGGGGGTAGAGGCAGCTTTATAGTTCTGGAGTAGGGGGCTAGGCTGCCCCCTCCCCAGCTGCTATCTTCCCAGGGCCAGGATACTCCCTGCCCCTTTCTGCTCAGTAGCCAAAGGTCTCCTGGGAGGCATAAACCATGTAGAGGAAGCCATCTTCATCCTTCTCCTGCTCGTAGATCTCTGAGATGGGTGTGGAGACGCTCACCATGCTGTGCTGGTTCACCAGCAGGAAGAAGGCCTGAGTGGGGTTAAGTTGGAGTCTGCGGCTGCATATGGAGAGGGGGATAAGGGGAGTCCATTGGAAGGGCAACAAGACCCCCAACTCCCAGCTCTGGGCCCTGACACCTGAGGTGGAAGGAATCTCCGAGCTCTCTAGTCCAACCCCTTTCCCCATGTATGAATCTCCTTGACAGCATCTCTAAGAAGAGTCATCCACCCACCCTGCCCTGTTTGAGGTCCCAGGGTCCTCCTGCCTCTCCCTGGATGGTTTGGGGTTTCAGAGTTTCTGCTGATCCAACAACTGCCTCCTGCTTCTTTCCACATCCTGATTCCAACCTCCTGGCTTCCACCCTCTGAGGCCCAGGGCTAATCCCTCTTCCACCCAGCAGCAGCTCTTCAAATACTTGAAGACAGCTATCATGTCTTCCCTAACATCTACAGGCTAAAACATAAACAAACTCAGTTCCTTCAATCCTCATAAAGCATAAATTCTAATTCGTTTCCATCCTAGACACTCTCCTGTGGATTTGTTTGAGTTTGTCAGTGCCCCTCAAACATGGTCCCACAATCGAATGCTGTATTCTAGATGTCAGCTGACCAGGCCAGAGAACCGAATTTCCTCCCCCTTCCCCCCCTTCATCCTGGACACTACCTCTGTTAATGAATGGCACTAGCTTCCATGGCTGGACTGTCCTACCTATGCAGCACTGCCCGGAGTTGGACTCTTTCCAGCCCAGGTCAACGGAAGGTGGGTGGGATGGAGGGGTGGGAGTGGGGTGTGCCTCACTCACCGGATGATCTTCACTAATTCACTCATGTTCACATGGTCAGGGACCAGGAACTTGGTCTTGTCCAGGACAGGCAGCTGTTTTTCCCCTTTGTATCGCTCGATGATCACCTACGCGAAGAAGGATGAGTAAGAGGAGGCAGGAGCAGGGCAGGAGCCACAGGCACGTGCAGGCGGCCCGGACCCCGGCACTCACCGGGATCTTACTGGGGTGCTGCTCGCGGATCTGCTGCACTTCCTTGCATCTGTCGGCTGGGAAGACAGGAGGCAGTGAGGCTCTGGCCCGTGTGACCCGAAGCAAGGGGCCTGGACCGGGAGAGACCCACCCTCACTGCTGCAGCTGTTTCTGGGCTCCCTGGACTGTGGGAGCCACGAAGGGTAAACAAGGAGGCGGCGGCTTCCGGGTGACCCGGCCTGCCGCCCACACGTCCACCGCCGCCCCTCCGCCCCAGCCTTCGCTATCCCGACCTGGACCCGGCCCCGGGGAGCCCCTCCGACCACGCGCACCCGCCCCCACCCCTCAGACAGACGCTCGTCTGCTTACACCCGCCCCCGAACAGGGACACTCAGGCTACCCAAGAGACCTCTTCCCCACCCACCCAAACCCCATGCACAGACTCAGATGATCCAGGCAGGGGTCCAGGGTTCCCCTTGCCTGGGAAACGCAGCTTCCGATGGCCGGGCTGGGGTGGGGCAGGGAGAGCCGGCGACCCTCAGACGCAGCCCAGGCTCTCCCCTGGCCCGGAGCCAGCCTCCTCCCCCCCGCCCTGGACACTCGGAATAAACACGCCCGGGCTGCGAGGGAGGGGCCTCGTCTGTCTCCTCCCCCCAAGCCCCTTAAAGGGCAAACCCGGGTGGGGGAAGGAGGACTAGTCCGGGAGGCCGCCCTCCCCCCTCCCGCCCAGCCCCGGAGCTCTCGCAATGGAGGTGGGGGCGACCCCGGAATTACCCTCCTGTACCCAGACCCTGTAGGTATCTGCGTGACGCCACGCGTGCCCATGACATCAGCGGCCGTCGGCTTCCCACCCCTGCAGGTCCCGGGACGCCCCGCAGGGTCCGATCGGACGCTTCCACCCCCCACCCCTACCCCGCCCCGGCCCGGCCTCACCGAAGCTTCGCCGCTGCTTGAAGGGCCGGTCGGAGGGCATCGCGCCGGGGTCCTGGGTCGGGCAGGGGTGGGGTGGGGTGGGGTGGGAAGTTCAGGGCCAGGGATCCGGGTGTCACCGCTGCTGCTCCGGGTTCTCTGCCGCGCGCTCGGGCTCCTTCTGGTTCTCAAACCCGAGCAGCTGCTGCCCGGAGGAGATGGTAACTCGGTTCGGTGACGTCACTTCACAACATTCCTTAAAGGGGGAGGCTGGCCCTGCCCTGCTATTGGGCCGACGAAAAAGCCACCCCATCCGCTCACTTGACCCCGTGACGCAAAGGCAGCTCTGGCCAGGAATGGACAACTGAGGAGGCGTGGCTCCCAAGGAGACATGGCCTTCCCGGTCGCTGCCATGACAACAGATAGCCACACAAGTCGGCGCTTGGCCGCGACGTCACATGCCCCGCCCTCTCGGGCCTTCAGCCGCTGGCTGGACAGGCAGCAGTAAGCACAAGGCCCGCAGCCGGAGGTGCTGGCTGTCCTGCGGCAGGCGGCCGAATGTGCAGGCCGGACTTTGTAAGCTGAGCCCCCGCGTCCCCCCGGGGCCCCTTCGGTCTTGCACTCCCCAGCAGACACAGCTTTGGTTTCGTGCAGGGAATCGGCCAGGATGAGGTGTCTCCGGTGACAGGACTTGGGGCCCATCTAGTTCGGTGGAGGAAGCAGATGCCGGGGCCCTACCCCAGGGCACACGGTGACTTAGCAGTGGCAAAGCAGAGCCTAGAAAGCCAGCCTTCTGGCTCTTTCCAATATACCTCACTCCCAACTCACGTTGGGTAACTCACAGGACTTTTCTGGGCCTCAGTTTCCCCACCTGTGAAATAAGGGAGTTGGACTAGGTGGTCCGCAAGGTCTCTTGTAGCTCATGTTGGCACATGGTTCTGACTCGTGTCACCAGCGGGAGGTTCGGAACTCGGAGGCAACAACTTTCCCTGCTCCTCCATGTTCATTGCTCCTGTTCGCAGGTCGCTCTCTCACCAGAACTTCAGACGGCCCCCCATTCTCTTATTTAAATTAAATTAAAAGGCATTTTTTTAAAACTTAATAAAAGCCTGGGTCCCAGTCCTGGTCCTGCTTCTAAGGGGTTTGGTTTCCTTTGTAAAAGCAGTTTTTCAGCCTCTAGGATTCTATAGAGTTGCTTCCTTTTTTGGCTTATGGTAGGGATGTCAGTTCTGGCTTCTACTCAGTGCCTCATAAGTGTTCTGCACACAACATGGGCCTGACAAAATGAATTCTGCTCGTATTGACTGGGGAGAATTATTGAAATGTTTTGCAAAAAACACACAAGGATTAAGTTGATGATAACCAACTTTGAAGAAGCAATTTGAACTAAGGCTCTGTCACTGACACACAAAAGCCTGCCAGATCTCTTAACGTTGCGACCCTGGGATAAGAAAGTTTCTCCAGCAAGCCTATATTGTGACACAGACAGCAGTACCACGGTGCGTGACTAGGGTAGCCAGAGAGCTTAGTTTATGTTCTCACCTAACGCAGGGCCTCATCTCCTGTATGGAGCTCAAAAGTGGCCGTGGATACTTTTCGTCAGGGAAGAATGGAAGGGAGCCTGGTACCTAGTGTCCAGGGAATCTCTCCTACACTCAGGCTATAGTAGCTGAGCTACAAGACTTCGCACTGGGGGAGGTAAAAGATTGAGGCAGCTGGAGATGGCAGAAGTAGGCTGGAAGGGCCATCACAGAGCCCTACCCTACCCCCAGTGCCAGGGTCCGTATCCTTTTATGAAGGCAGGAAATCACCCAGTGTATGTCAGGCCTCAAGGCTGCCTGGGCCTCACTATCCTCCTCTACTCCTGAAGCATTGGGAATTGGTGTTGGCACTCACATGCCAGGTGCTAGTTAAAGGTGATGTCTGCACCCTCATGCCACACAAACACCTTATTTCATGTGACCTTTCTGAGAAAGGGAAAATAGGCTGTTCCAGAAAAAGTAATTCTCTGGTAAACAGGGGTTAACCCAAAAACCCCTTTTAATATCGAAGCCTTATAGCTGAAAATCTTCAGAAAATGTCTAAAATCACTTTCTCTGCAAAATAGCTTCTTATGTGGTCCACTTACCTGGTCTCTTCCCACCCAATCCTTAGAAGCTATCAATCCCTCCATCCCCTTCTCAAAAGCCTTCAACAGCTCCTCAAGGCCCCAGGACAAAGTACATCATCCTCAGAATTTAGGGACCTCTATTCTCAGAGTCCAAACTACCTTTCCAGGATTATGTTAGCCCTGCTCTATCACCTGAAATTTTCTTCAAGGTTCAACTTGACCATAAGGCTACCTTGACCATAAGGCCTTCAGTGAGCCTCACACTCCACTCTACTCCTCTCAGAGGTACTCTTCTGAGCTCGATGAGTCTTCACTGTTTTGTGCCCCCACAGTGCTCTGCACCTATGATTTTACAAAGTGTAGGTTGCTCCCAGTAAGGAATAAATAGCATCTCTGTAACATCCAGTCTGTTTCCTGGGGCAGTGAGAGGTTAAGTGATCTCTACCCACGGTCAGTACATATGAGGCAGGACCTGAATCCAGGTTTTCCTCACAGGTTATTCTGCACGATGCAACACCAGTTCCCACACAGTGAGTACTCAGTGAATAACCCTTTAATTGCTCAATAGCATCTCAAAGGACCCAAAGGAATCTTTCCTTGTAGGGAATCTCCCAGGGCCTTACAATATCAGTTAATTTTCCTCTTGACCTCCTTTTCCTGAACATGGAAAGTGCAGCAGAAATGCTCGTATAAAGTCTCTTCTAAGTTGAGGTAGAGCTGATCATGCTTCTTCTACAGGCTTTCCTCCTGGACCTTGGGCCATCCCTTCACACTCCCCTCATCTTTCTGGGCCATTTCCCAAACCCTCTGCAGGTTCCTCCTCTGCTCTACTACTATGGGCCTCTGGAACCTAGTCAGCCTCTGTGCCAGAACAAGAGCAATCCCCAGTGGGGCCCCAAGTGCCCCCAGACCCACTGAATGTGGCTGCAAGGTAGAGACTGACGGCTTCACGTCCACACCAGGACCTGTCCATTGGATGTGTCCCCTTCAAATCCCCGGGAGAGGCCCCCCATTCAGCAGCCCCCTCCCTAGCTGCCACTGAATTCACAGGCTGACTCCTCTACCAGGGCATGAGATCACAGATTTAGAGATGAAGGACCCCTGAAGGTTACCTAAGCCAACCTTCTCATTTTACAAAAGAAACTAAGATCAAAAGAAGGGAAGTGACTTGCCCAAGACCACAAAGAACTCAGGCTCTCTGACCCCAATGTTCCTTCCACCATATCTCCTGCTGCCTGTCTTGTCCTTACAGATCCAGATTCCAGACCCCTACCCCCACCCTAAAAAATAACTCATGAGGAGACCTTCCCACAGGGCATGTAAAGATACAACAAAAGAATAATCATTACAGTTATTTTTAGTTAGACAGCCTTTCAAAATAGCAACAAAATTAAAATCAGAAGCCCAGAGCCCAGATTGGGGGGGGAGGCGGGGCGGGGCAGCGGGCCAGAGGGGAGTTCAGGCCTTAGGCGTGGGCACCAGCCCTGGCCATTAAGCTTGTCTCCAAGGGGCTTTCTTCCTGGTGGCTGAAGGTAGCCTCCCAAAATTCAAGGTGGATCAAAGGTTAAGAAAATCAATCTGCCCCCCCACCCCCCCCACCTGGGTCACATGATCTCTGTAAATCCAGTCTGATATCATAATTTTGTTTTCCACATGCCATTCAGTGGTGAGAAGGAATCAACAGTAAGGCTTTCTTTCAGGGAGACTATTAAATTAAAGAAAAAAAAATCACACCTCGAATATGGCAAATTATTCTGTTGGATTTTGGATCACAATCAGGAAGTAATCTTTATCTGCAAAAAGAAGAAAAGACATATGTCACAAACAGACTGATTCCAGACTCCAAGTCCAGGCTCTGCCACAAATTTGTTGTGTGGCCTTGGACAAGTACTTCCTTTTCCCTAAGCCTCAGTGTCACAGGAGTGACGGGACTGGAAAGTCAGAATGAGAAGGGACCTCAGGGCTTATCCAGGCCAACCCCCACTTGAAAAATAATTTCCTCTACAGCAGACCCAACAAGTCATTAGCCTTCGCTCAGGAAGGGGGGGATCCACTACCTTCCAAGGCAACCCATTGCCCAGTTCCTCTTCCCTGGGGCAGGTGGGAGCCCAAGTCGATTCAGGGCTCTTGCTGCTTTATTCCTGAATATGACCCCTCTCTTTATGCTGGCGAACACTGCCATAGCCCTCTTGGATACCATATCATCCTATACACTCATATGTGTGTGGTCCTCTCGTGGTCCGCTAAAGCCACAGATCTTTTTCAAATGAAACGCTACCTAACCAAGCCTCCCTCCATCTTGTACTTGTGAGGTTAATTCTTGAAATCCAAGGGTCAGACCTCACATTCATCCCTATTAAGAATCTTCTTATTCAATTCAACTCAACATAAAATCACCAATACCTTTTAAAATCCTGTTTCTGTCATCCAATATATTAGCTATCCATCCTCTACCCTTGATTTGAGTCATCTGCAAATTTGATAAAGATGCTATTTTTGCCCTTATCTAAGTTACTGATTAAAGAATAGGGAGATTCAAATTCTGGTTTGAAACATCTTCGTTTCAGACACTGGCACCTATAGTATGCTTCTAAGGCAACCTTGGAAATAGACATTTGCCCGGACTGGAGGCAGGATTGTTTGTGTGGGGGTATGTGTGTGGTAGAAGATACAGACATCCTTTACACCAAAGGAGAGGAACAGGCTGTCACAAGTTGTATGGACTCCTAAGTTCCTGGAAGGCAAAGGACAGGGTCTTACTCATCTCAGTCTGAATCTCCAGTGCTGAACCCAGGGCCTCTCATATAGTAAATCTTTACTAAAAGTTTATTGAAATGAAGACAGCATGTAATGGCATCTCAACCTTAAAAAACTTGGCCTCTTCATCCAGATTACAGCACAGGAGCAAGTTTGATCTGACCAAGGTCAGCCCTCCTGCCCGAGAATCTGTCCTTTGTATTTGTTTGGTATATCTTGTACAGACTTCCTAGAGCTTCTCTCCAGGGAAGCGTCTATGTCACTTCTGTGCTGGTGGCCCTAGCACCCGATATAGTGCAGAACACACAACTGATGCTTAATAAATTCATGCCGATTGACTGAAATATAGTGCTTGTTCCTCTTTCTGTACTTATGATAGAAATTATGATTTGGGGAGAGCCAGAGTTTGCCCCTTTTTTAAAGTCTTCATTTGACCACTCAGCCTTGGAAGGACAGGACTTTGAATAATAGATATGATTAATTCTTCTCAATCTGGGTATTGCTACCCCACCCAACTTTACAAGAAATTTAATCTAAAGTGAAATTGGCCCACTGTGTTCTACTCAGGCTAGGGTAGGGGATATAGATCCTTTGTCTAGATTCCTAGAGCCTGGGGGTGGTCTGGGAGTAAGACTGAATTAATCAAAGTCACATTCCCCAGCGCCTCATTAGAATAAATCTACCTCATTAACTGTTAACCAATCAGAGCTGACAGCTATCCTCAGGAACACTCACTCTTCCAAAGGCATATAAACGGTGAAACCTCAGCTATGATTCATTTTCGGGGTAAGAGAGTAGGCCAAATGACCATCTCTTTTATTAATAATATGCTAGCACTATTAATAAAACGATTAATTATATAGAAACTACGTCCCTCGAACTTCTGAAATGTCACACTTAGTAGGTACTCCAAAGTAAACTATTTGTTAGAGTTTATGTATGATATCATTTGACAAAGTATGCTATACTGATCTGGCTCACAACTCCCTCACTAGCAGTGTAGACCAAAGGTATCAATCTCAAAACTCCAACCAGATTAAAATGTCACTGGGAAATGTTTAACAAAATAAATAAAAATACAACCCAGCACAGGTTATGTTAACTTCTATTTGAGAGGGACACCACTGGTGTAAACTAGCAAGAACAGTTTCCTTACTGTGACGAGAAAGAGACCCAATCTAGACAGTGCAGGTCAGTGTCTGCAGCTACTAACCCTGAGGGGACTGGACTAGAAGAAGGCTGGACTAGATGAATTTTAGGATCCTTTTCACCTCTAGAAGTCTAAAACACGAGGTATGGAAGAAAGAAATGGAAGTACCCATTTCCCTGGTAATATGAACAGATGAACATCAGCTCTGGAGAAGACAAGTGCTTTGGTTAAACAGTGGCTGTGCAGTCTCAGGCAGAGCACTGCTCCACTGGGAATCACGAGAGCTGAAATCCAGTCCTGACTGCCACAAATGCCCTGTGGGACCTTGGGTAAGACACCGAACATTCTCTGAGCCTCAGGTTCTCCATCCATACAATGAGGGCGTATAACACCATCATCTCTGCAGGCCCTCGAATTCCTTCATCCTATGCCCTACAGTGTCATCGAAGGAAGTTTCTTTCTGACACGCCCAATGAAATCCTAAGAACTGCTCCAAGATTCGGGCAATGAGACTCTTACCTGGAGCAACCATGATCTCATTTTTCTTGGAGCGAATGCGGAGGAATGTGAGATCGTTCTGGGGGTCGATGTCTCGCACAGTGCCCCGAGCCTTCAAGATGAAGCTGTGCATCAGATTGGCATACTGCACGGTGGTGGAGTTGTCCATGGTGCTTTTGATTGGAATGCCTGGGCCAAGGACAGGTGAAGTGAGAAAAATCAATGCAAGCCCTTCTGCTTCTTCCTCATTCCCATGACTTGTGGAAACGGCCATTTGTGCTTGTGCCATACAATCAAATGGGAGATTAATTTTTATAATCTTGAGAGTTTGATGGTATAAACAGGGTCACCCATTTAAAAGTCAACTCACTTAGCGAGTCCAATAAGGATTACCTTTTAAATGAGCCCCTTTCTTTGTGGAAGGGATCTTTTTGTCTCAGTTTCAGAGATAAAAAGCTCTCTGAAGTTACCTCAAAAAACTTGAAACCAACCACGTGTTAAATGACTGGAGCCTGGCTCAACAAACTGTAGTAGTATATGAACAGCAGCGTCTGGTGGCACCATTAGAAAGGTCAGAAGAGATATGAGAAGAATCCCATGAAGTGAAAAAGAGCAGAGCAACATGCACACTGACTATGAAGACTCCAGGAAACAGCAGCACCAACAAAATGTGGAAAAAATACTAAGAATTCAGAAGACACAGAATCAGTAGGTTATTTATCCTTTGATACATCACCATATTTATTCTTGATTGTGGAACTGAACAATTATTTTTGTAGATGGGACCTGAATTTAGAATAACAAAGAAAAGGGGCCGCTACATGGCGTATTGTATAGAGCACCGGCCCTGGTGTCAGGAGGAGCCGAGTTCAAATTTGGCCTCAGACACTTGACACTTACTAGCTGTGTGACCCTGGGCAAGTCACTTAACCCCACTGCCTAGCCAAAAAAAAAGAATAACAAAGAAAAGCCAGCTTCCTCCTCCCAATTATTGTACTTGCCATCCCACCCCACCCCCTGTAGGGAGCAAACATCCAGCACTTAGCACAGGGTCTAACATACTCATAAGTGGTTAGTTCAGCTTAAAGCTGAATATGACAGATGCTTATTTTGAAAGGAGCCATGGCTAATGACCCCATATCAGTAACATTATATCCATTTATCAAGGGGAAGATGAGTAGAGCTGACCCTCCTTCCTCCCAGGGTCCCTTAGCTCTGAGAGGTGAACTTTTACCTTATCTTGTTGGGGTCCCAAGACACTTCCCAGCATGCTCCATGCCAAGCCTTCTCTACTTAAGACATTCATCTCCACCAGAGGCCTTTGGCTCTCATAGGTGAACTGCCTTCTTTCTGGCAGTGGGAGGAGGCTGAGACTTCTACTCAACTCCCCAACCCTAACCTTCCTACCTCCAGCCAATGTTGTCTCCCCACTTTAGAATGTAATCTTCTTGAGGGCAGAGACAATCTTGCTTGCTGGTATTTGTATCCCCAGTGCTTATACAGTGCCTGACACACAGTAAGTGCTTAATAAATTCTTTCTCTCTTTCTCTGTCTTGGAGCTAATTTGGCAGGGATATGGAAAGAGCATTAGAAATCATGTGACTGAATTCCAACCCTAACAACTAACTATGTGACCCTTGGGAAGAACATAATCTCTTCAGGCTTCAGTTTCCTCATCTGTAAAATGGGCATAGTTCCTACCCTACCTCCATAGGAGGGTTTTTGTGATGATCAAATGAAATAACAGCTGAAAAGACTTTGAAAACTGTCAGAAGCTGTACAAATCTATTGTTGTTTTTATTTTCACCATGAGGCAGAGAAAAGATTAAGTCTGGTTCATCTGTCTTTTTGGAAGGTTTAAGGAAATGATCTGACATACTGATCAATTCTGTCCCAGGATCTGTCAGAGCTAAGCCACTAAAAGTGCCCAAGCTTTCGGCAGTACTTTCAAAATGATAGCTGTGAGAATGCTTCAAGGCTTTATCCAAAGTAGTTCAGACCAGGACCTGAAAAACAAGTAGTTTCTTAACTAAAAGGATAGTCTGAAGCAGTTGAAAGTTCCTGACAGGAGAGGGTAGATTCAGAAGCAAACCACTGAGTTGATATGTTCTCATCCCCACCATGATGTGCTTGGAGGTTTCTTGATTTTTATGCCACTTCTAAAAGGGCTTATTCTATACTACTCCTCCCCAGTAATCCTCCGTTTCCCTCATGCTTTGGGAATTCAGACCATGGTGAGGTTTCATCCACTAATGCTGCATCACACTATTTCTTCATGATCGCAAGCTGCAGGATGTGCTGTCAAGAGCCTTGCACTAAGTCAGAAGATGTGAGTTTCCTTGTGTGACCACGGGCAAGTCATTCCTCTTTTTCTAGGCCTTGGTTTCATCTTCTATACAACGAGGGACTGGATTAAATCATATTCAAGCAAGAGTCCTTACTCCTCGAACATTCACTAAGTGTCTATTGCCTGCCCTGCAAGGCACTATGCTTGATGCTGGGAGTGGTACAGATGGTCCCCAGAGCTCAGGACCACAGCTCAAGGATCACATGGAAAGAGTTCAGTTAGGGTGATGTCTTCACACTCTCTGACTCACGTGCACCCTGTCTTTCCCCTGGTGTTGGAGGTCTCTCTACACAAAGATGAAATAGGATACTTACCCTTTTTATCAAAGAATTTGCAAGGTAATATTCTATAATTCTCTAAGAGTCAACATGTAGGTGAATTTTCAACGTTCACAGAAGTTACTTTGTATCTATGCATTAGAACAGACACCCTTATTACTGCACCTGAAAATGCAGTACTCAATATCCCAAGATGTTAAGTTGGCTACATTTTTAGGTCTGAAGTAAGATTCCTGGTGACATTAAATTCATCTTCTAGCTTCCTCAGAGGGTTCAGCATAGATAAGCCCTTGCTGAAACAAAGGTTGTATGGAGGTGTCTGGGGTCCAGCTAAGGTTTCTAAAGAAGTCTAAATGCTAAGATATGTAGTGACAATTTTCTCTTTATAATTCTGCCTTTCTCCTCTCTCCTGGAAATACCTTCAAGAACTTTGAGCTTAGGAAGTTTCTAACTGTTCTAACATTTCTGGCACACAGAATAAACAAAGAACACTAGAATGTCAGAGTTAAAAGGGATGTCAAAGATCATCAATTCCATCATTTAATAGATAAGGAAACACTTCCGGGGAGTGGAGGTAATTTGCCCTTGAACACTCAACTACAGAATGGCAGACCCAGGACTGGAACTCAGGTTCAGGGTTTTGTTCACTATACTCTTGCTGCCTCTGAGCCTCAGTTTCCTGTTCTGTAAAAGAGTTAAGAAGCTATGCTCCCCTTAGCAGCGCTGTCATAAGGATGAAACAAGATCAGAGTATGAAAGTGTGACAATAACTGTAAGAAATGGCAGTTCTCTTATGTGGTCAGAGAGGGGGAACTAAGTACCTTCTGAATTGACAACAATGATCCCTTGCACTCCCTTCTGGCTCTGAATTCGTTTTAGGGTTTCTTCTACTTCAGCCTGGCAAATGGAAAAAAAAAAGGAGAGAAAAAACAAGAAGATTAGTTTGTTACACCCAGTTCCCCGACTCCTCCTTAAACTTCCCCAGGAACTGTTGGCCCTGGGGTCACTGCAACAGTTCCTGGGATGCTCTTATAGTTTCCACTCCAGCTGAGTCCTCCTATCATAACTACAGAACTTTGTTAGGGTAGAATGTGTCCAAACCTAATACAAACCAGGCCATGACTATCATTACAGTCTTAATGTATCTTCACCATCCTGAAGCAGGTCCGTTTCACACTAGTGGGGACACTTCTTAACATAGCTGACAAGGGTGTGCAGAATAATGATGCTATTTCTTCCAGTCCTTACTCTTCTCTCCAAATACCTCTTGCCCATGAGTGAGGAATACTTAATGTCCACAGGATTTGGATACTTAAGTTATAAACTTCCTGTAAATAGGAACAACTGCACTGGGCTCCTATTCAACGTTCAGTGTTTACCTCCCCATCAAAGATTGGCTAGAAATAGCAAATTCTCCATCCCCTGCCCTAGTGCCAGTGGAAATACCTGGGATACTCTCTGCTGTCCAGGGAGGCCCTTTAATTATACCTTTAACTGCTTCCTGGGGTGGGAAACCTTTGGCCTCAAGGCCACATGTGGCCTTCTAGGTCCTTGGGTGCTGCCTGTTGACTGAGTCCAAGCTTTACAGAACAAATGCTTTTATTAAGGGGATTTGTTTTGTGAAGTTTGGATTCAGTCAAAGGGCCCTACTTGAGGACCCAGAGGACCACATGTGGCCTCAAGACCTCAGGTTTCCCACCCCTGGTTTAGACACAAAGCAGAAGGGAGAATGCCTAAACCCACTGTTGGAGAAAGATGTTTCTTTTTTTTTTCTTTAGAATATCTTTTCTCATATTCAGTTTTTCCCATTTCAATTTAAAAAGCATGTAAGTACCTACTATGGAGGTCCAGAACACTAGACCTAGAATCAAGAAGACCTGTGTTCAAATCTGACCCTAGACACTTACTAGATGTGTGACCAACCCTGGGCAAGGCACTTGACTTCTTTATGCTTCAGTTTCTTCAACTGTAAAATGGAGCTCATAACATCTACTTCCCAGAGTTGTTGAGAGGATCAAATGAGATAATAATTGTTAAGGTCTCAGTACAGGGCCTGGCACAGAAGAGGTACTTAAGGAATATTTATTCCCTTCTCTTCTCTTTCCTACTACGTGCAAGGCACTGGGCTAGGCTTTGGGACACAAAGAGAAAATGAAGAATAGTCCCCATCTCTGAGAAGCTTCCATTCTATTGGCAAAAAAAATATTATAAAAAGTGGTTGGGTCCTCCAGTATTATTGGTGTTATGGTTCAGCTATATAATGGGTCAATAACAGGAATCTAACCAACATTTACAACATTGTTTCTATGGGATAAGAAGTTCCAAACTTATTATCTACTAATTTATTTCCAAATTGGGGATGACCTGCTTTCTTTTCACCTTTTTTGTGTTTGCCCCCAAGCTCTAATAAAGTAGCTTAATTTGTACAATACAGACCGTGTGAAATACTTAATATGCATATAGGTAAAGCTGTGTCTTATCAAAGGGTCCTGAATTTTGAGTCAGAAAATTTTGGCTTGAGCCCTGCCTCCTCTACTGCTAGCTGTAGGACATAGGGAAGTTCATTCTAGGCCTTGTTTTTCTCAACTGTAAAATGGGCTGAAAATACCAACCCTATCTAATTTCATGCAGGGATGTTGTAAAGATAAAATAAGATAGGGCATGTAAAACAGGTTCGTGCCTGGGAAGCTTTTGTAAAGACTCATGTAAATATAACAGTAACATGTTATATCTGTTGCATGGGGGAGGGGGCAATATGTGTCCTTCATTCATGTCTCTTATTTAGGAGAACTGGAAGAAAAATGACAGGACCATTTAACAAGTGGAAACCTCAGCATCTAATACCCAAACAAAAAATTCAAACATCTTCCGAGGAAGCAAATCTCCATTAAGGCAAGGGAGGACAGACTCTGAGACTTAATGCACTTAATTAACTGGCACCTGAAGACCTGACACATCACAAAAACTCTATACAAGAAATGTGTGACAAGGACTCTGAATATTTATTCTAGGGTAATAGTAAACACATAACAGAGGTCAAACCTAAAACCATCTAAGGAGGGAAAGTCAACTTTACTTCAGAGGCCTTGCTTCAAAGAAAAACCTTTTGATCCCAAGCACTCCTTTCTTTCAGTGAGGTTGGACATGGAGAAGCACTTTCTTCCCAGGGGCTGGTGATGGGAAAGTAGTTCATAATCTAGTTATTTCCTGGTGAGTGTATTAGATCCATGACCCAATAAATGCACAATGAGCAAACATAAGAGGATAAGGAAGTTGGACAAGCCAAATTCTGCAAATGCAAAAAGACCTGGCAAAATCTAGAAAATGGGTGAAGTTTTGGGTGGCGGCAGTAGATTTAGGAGGCTCTGTGAATCCAGACACAAATAAATGGTATCAAAAAAGCAAGTAAGTGAATGGAATCTAGAAACAGGTGGAGGAAAAAGCAAGAGCAGAAGCAAGCACAAATAATGTATTGGTCCATGGTTTCCTGTCATCCTGGTGGTATCCAGGGGCATCCCATAGGGCTGTATGTAAAATGTCTTTACATACAAAAAAAATCAATTGTACAACTGCAGAAGGGGGAAGATATGACTATGTGAGAAAAGATTTGGGACTACAAATCTGAATGGTCCAGTGGTATGACAAGGCAACTAAAAAAGCTAAAGTGATCTAACACAGCCAGTCTACCTCAGGAGGGGAAAAATGTCCAGTACAAAAGAGGTGACAGTCCTGCTGTTCTAATCAGGCCATCTTGTACAGCGTTTGGGCATTGAATTTTAGGAAAGGCAGTGACAATTTAGAGAATGTCCATAAGAACTTAACGAGAGGACCATGCCAAAGGAATCCACTGCCTGTTAAGGGGCTGCTTAACCTGGAGAAAACTCAGGCAGGAAACATGATGATTGCCTTCAAGTAACTGAAGGTGTGTTACATGGATGAGGGATGTGATTTATTCTAGCACCAAGTGATAATAAGCAGAAAGGAGACAGATTTCATTCACCCAACGTCGGGAAAAACTTTTAACAAGCATCACTTCGAACAACAGAATTCAGGTAGTGAGTTCCCTGTCCTGGGATTATTCAATTAAACTGTGCGACAACCATGTATTAAACACCTGCTAAATGCAGCAAAGGCTCTGTGACCACCCTTCAGGAATGCTGGGGAAGGAGTGGCTGTGGAGGCCGGGGCGTCGGTGGACGGTGCATCGGTACCTCCGCGAGCCTTCCTGGGACAGCACGACTGTGCTCCCCAGCTTCGCGGCCACTGGGGCGGGGGGAAGTGAAGGAGAGGAGTCTCAGCGGTAGCAGGACCAGGGGGGGAAGCGGGAGGGGAGGGTTCCCCGCCGCCACCCGGCGAAGCGCACTCCTCCGGCCCGAGCATCCTGAGGCAGTACTCCCTCAGCCTCTAGAAGCCAGAGCCGGGGCGGGGCAGCCACTTCCGGTCCCCCGGCATTCGGGCCCCGGCGCTTTAGTTCCCACCCTCCGCCTCCCTGTCAGCGCCAGTCTCCAGGCCCAATCGCATGCTGCGGAATGCACGAACGGAGAAGGGCTTCGGCGCCAGGCAGCAGGCCGCAGGCCACGAGAGAACCGGGGCCTGGGGCTGGGGCTGGGGCTGGGGCTGCCTCCCGCCGGGCTCTGGCACTTACCATCCTTCAGGCAGAAACGACTACAACGCAGCTACGACAGAGGCGGGGACGCCCTACCCAGTGCAGAGACGGTTCCCCTCGGCGCCTGCGCAACCCCACCCCGTAACCAGGCAGGCGCTCAGGATTGGCATCTCTTCCAGCCAGTAGCGTGTCAGTTTCCCTAGAGAGTGGGCTCTCAGGCGTCGGCTCCCCGAGGGCCCGCCGGTGATTGGCACAGCGCGGGCCGGAAGCGCAGCCCGGGTGCGAGCTCCGCGGCACGACGACACAGGCACGCGCTCAGTCTCCGGGCTGGGTGCGGGCAGGTTCGGGCGCTCTCTGCCGCCCCGGGAGCTGCTGCGGGCTGGGAAGGGCCGCCCGGGAGAGCGGAGGGACCGGGGGCGGTGACGGAGGAGCCGGCCGCCGTGACGACCTCGGGGTGCGGAGGGGCTGCCTTGCGTTTCCGTCGCATTCTGATTGGGAGCAGTGGTCTGCTCACGAGCCGGGCAAGTGCCAGGTCTGACTTCGGTTTTTCTCCTCCGAAGGTGGGGCAAGTGTTAGGGGTCTTCCGTGGTGCGTCTTGTGACGTCAGAGGCAGACAGGTCTGGGGCGCAGGGATCCAGGATCGAGCTCCCTGAAACTCTCTGCCGTGCTAACGTTCAAACTTCCTTCGTGTGACTCCTGCTGTGCCCGACCCCTTAGACCAAAGCTGCTTTTTTTTTTTTGGCTAGGCAATGGGGTTTAGTGACTTGCCTAGGATCACACAGCTAGTGTTATGTGTCTGAGGCCGAATTTGAACTCAGGTCGTCCTGAATCCAGGGCCGGTGCCTCTATCCACTTCGCTACCCAGCTGCCCCCAAAGCTGCTTTTACTTTCTCTTAATTCTCCTGGAGGTCGGGCACCCTTACCCTACAAGAAGGGTCCCCAGCAAATAGCGCAGGTCTGCCTTGCATTGCCACCCAACATGGCAGCATAGGAGGACGGATCTCAGGAGACAAAGCTGTGAGTGGTAGCCAGGCTTGTGATTAAGGCACAATTAACTTGGCCTTTCAGCCCCACTTTTCCTCATCTGTAATATGTGAATAATACTTGCACCAGCCACTTCCCGGCTTTCTGGTGAAGGTGCTTTGTATACTTTGTTGATTTAAATTACTTTGACTCTATGAGGTAGTGATTAATTATATACTACTTTACAGAGGCTCAGAGAGGAAAGGACTCAATAGCAGAGCTGGGATTTGAGCCTAGACTCCTGATTCGGGCATTACTAGCAGTTTCTTCTGCTTTCCATCTGGGCTTTTTAGAAGTCCTGCCCTTGGAACAAGGGCAGTCTTACAGGACAGAAACACAGAACTCAGTGGATATGTTATATTTTTGCCTTTATATCCTAAGTGTTTAGCATAGTTGGGCACATAAACATTTGATAAATTCTTGTTGAATATTCAGTGCACACTAAAAGCACTGATTTTTCATTTAATTTTTGTGTGAAATTGCCTATGTTGGGACTAGGTGAACTGTCAAAGGTGCTTTGTAATCAGGTAGTCAAAGCCATAACAGACCACAGAGGAGGCAGTATGTTGTAGTGGAAAGAGCATTTGCAGCCTTTTCATTCCACCAATCAAGAAAGATTTATTAAGTGTCCACTATGTGCCAGGCCCATGACGCTGTCCCTGCCTTCAGGTAATTTCCATTCTGTTGGCTTACAGATAAGTAAATTAAAAAAAAATATACAGTGATGAGGGAAGGGCATTAACAACTGGCAGAAATTAAGGAAAGCTTCTTGAAGAATGTGGCATTGGAGCTGAGACTTATAAGAAGTTTATACTTTAGAAGGCAGAGGTGAAAGAGGAGATCATTACACAGAAGCAGGAGGTGAAGCATTTAGGGGGACAGTAAATAGACCAGTTTGGCTTGGCATAGAGAACATGGGAGGAGGGGTTGTAATGTAATGTCTGATAATCCTAGGACGATACACTAGGACCACATTGTGAAGGGCTTTAAACACTAAAGGAAATCGTATCTTAGCCTTTACACAAGAGGAAGCCACTGAGGCTTCTTGAACTCAGTCAAAAGATCTGAGTCCTCTATCTGACATTACCTGCATGCCTTTCTATACGCCAGCCACAACCAGTATTTGTTTCATCATCTGTAAATGAGGATCCTTGCATCTATTTCAATTTAATAAACAAGTAGTTGTGGTATTGCACAAAGATATCTATGACCCATAACCCTTTCAGAAAGCTTGTAACTAATGGGGGTTGGGGGAGAGGAAGAATGGAACGGAATTGACAGTGACATGAGTGAATGAGGTGAGACAAGATCTAGGCAAAGACCACTTTTACCTTAGGGATGGTGGGAGAGTTAAGGGAAGGTTTTATGAAGGCGGTGTTTTGCTTGAATTGGGCAAGGAGGGAGGGATTTCAACAGAGGTATGCAGTTCCATTCCAGTTGAAAACAGATGGGAGAGAACAATATAAGAACAAGACACTGTCTTGTCTTTGTTCAGTGATTTGAAAGAAAAGACAAGAGTGGGGAGGTAGGGTGAGGTCACATTGTAAAGTAGAGGTGTGCTGGAGGCAGCTTGTATCCGCCTGACTCTTTGTTCACTTTTCAGTGTGAGCATTAAAAGGGCAAATGCTATATAAATCAGGTTGTGGTTTATTGTTGTGTTAATTATCTAGACTTAACAAAGTGATGGAAAAATGTTAACTGAAATTAAAACTAGAAGAAAGTGTATATTTTTCCCCCCTGGAGAGTTGCTTATTAAACCCTACCCCTGTTATAGACAGCCTTATGTGCTAGGTTCAGGACTTAATATTTTATTTAGTAGGCAATGGTGAGTCATTACACATAAATCTGAGCAGAAGAATGATATGAACAAAGTCATTTATGTGTTAGGGTAAAACTACTTGGATTCATGGAATATAAGAAAAGCATGCTGTAAACTACTTAAAAATGCTAAAGCTTTCACTGACTGTCTCCTGGTAGCTGTCTGCAGTTTATGATGATGGCAGGACGACATTTTTGTCTTTGGGACAGTACCCAGCACGGCCATGAGGAACTTAGAACACTGAACAATCCGCAGCTACCTCTTCTACCTCCAGAGCCATGCTGGGTAGGATTCTTTGGAAGGATATTGATCCCAGAAAGGTGTGGACTAGACTAGGTGAATTCCTAGGTTGGAGTCTGTATCCACTGCTGTGATGGGCCAGGGGTGGTTTAAGGTAAGCAACATTCAACAAACATCTGCCAGTTAGCTTTGCATTTGATTGCATTACAGCAGTCCTACGGATTCCTGGCAGAAGTGAGTGGTTTTAGGGAACATTAAATATCAAAACTCAAATGGAGTGGGAGTAGCCGTCTTCTGTCTCCCTATTGAAAGAGCACTGCATTTAGAGTCAGAGGACCTGAATTCAAGGTCTACTTATTTGCCTGTGTGTCATCCTGGACAAGTCACCTAACCTCCCAGCCATACTTTCTTCATCTATAAAATGATATTAGAGTAGGTGACCATTAAGGTACCTTCCAGCTCTAAGATCTTATGATCCTTATCAAATTTGGAATAACAGAGCCGGGAAGGTTGGCAATTAAATATGAAGACAGAATTGGAGCTCTCCACTAATATAAGTTCATTTTAGCCATATCAAAATCCTAGACTTGAGTTCAAAAAATTAATTGAAAAACATAGTAGAGATGTAGCTGGGCAGTAGTTCATGGGGGAAATGATATGAGGGGTTTTAGTGGATTATAAGCTTAAAGAGCTAGTAAGTGATATGGCAGCTAAAAAAAGGTACTATAATCTTGGTACTATATTAATAAAAGGGGCAACGAGGAGTTGCAGTGGATAGCGTGCTGGGCCTGGAGTCAGGAAGACTCATTTTCTTGCATTCAAATTTGGCCTCACACACTATTAGATGTGTGACCCTGGACAAGTCACTTAACCCTGTTTGCCTCAGTTTCCTCATCTGTAAAATGAGCTGGAGAAGGAAATGGCAAACCACTCCAGTATCTTTGCGAAGAAAACCCCAAATGGGGTCAGGAAGAGTCAGACACAACTGAAAAGACTGAACAGCAGTTATGTCAATAAAAATGTAGTGTCCAAAACAAAATAATAAAAAAATCTTCTTGTCCTCTACCCTGATTAGGCCACACCTGGTGTGTCATGTTGAACTTTTGTATATTATTTTAGGGATGACAGTGAGTATATAGAAGAGGGCAACCAAGACAGTGAAATGGGTGGGGAGAGTATTAAAGGAACTGGAGCAGAGAAGATGATGCCTACACAACATGATTGCTGTTTCACAGCCTCTGCAGTGCAGATGACTAGATTTATTTTGCTCAGAGACAGAGGGCAAAATCAAGAGTGACAGGTGGAAGCTGAAGAGGTAGATTATCAGCCAGCTCCATATAAGGAAAACTGGAATGATGGGTGTCCTGAGCAGAGCTGGTGAATTCCCCATCCCTGGAGGTTTTCACACAGTGGCCAGATGACCATTTATTAGGCATGTTTTAGAAGAGATATGAGTCTGTCAGGGTTTGTATTTGTTAAAGGTGAATTGTAAGCCCTGGTTCTGCTACTTGCCACTTGTGTGATCTTGGGAAAGTCCTTTACTCACTCATCTTTAAAATGAGGAGCTTGGCCTAAATGGTCTCTGAGGTGTCCTGTCACTTTAAATCCATGATCCAGATTTTTGGAATATGCAAAGCACAGTTAGGCATTGTGTATAATAAGAAGAATGAAAAGCAACACACTCTGCTGTCAAGGAGTTTACATTCCACTGGGGCTGGGGAGAATTTGGTGCACAAATAATACAAGGTAGAAAAGGTAGAACGACAGGGGTACAGAAGAGGTCTGGGGGCAGGGGGAGCTCTAGGGTTGGATGATGGCTCCTGAGGTGACTTCTGACTGTTTATAAAGAGTCTATGGTGCATAGGCTTCCCCCAAAGAGAAGCTGTTTCCCTCTTACCCCCTGCCCCAACCTTTCCATTCCTAAGGCCACCATTCTAGTTCAGGCCCTTATCACCTCCTAGGCTACTTCAATAACCTAATGATTCTTGCTGCTAGTTATTTCCATCTTCAGTCCATCCAATACTCTGCCCTTCCTCATGTACATATCTGATCATAGTAGAGGAGGATGTCACCTCCATTTGTCAAACTTTCAACGAGTCCTTGCTCCCTACCACATAAAGGTAGTTAAAACCTTCTCCCTCGTGCACCATCCTGCCTTTCTAGCCTTCCCTTGTGCCTGAAATGCTCTCTGTCTCTCCCCCTCCCCCCACTCCACCTCCCTGCCGCTGCCATCTGGAGACCACACAGGATCAGAGCTGAAGGGGCTGTTGGTCTTCCTAGTCCAACCCCTTCAATTTACAGATGAGAAAACTAAGGCCCAGAAAGGCAAGGTGATTTCCCCACTGTCACACAGGTAAGTCATTATTAGAACTGGGTTTCAAAGCCAGGTCACGTGACTCCAAACCTAGACATTTTTCTACCACATCCGACTGCCTCCTTTCCATCAGTACCCACGTGAAATGCTATCTCCTCCAGAAGACCTTTCCTGATATCCAGGAATAATCCTTTCTTCAGGGACCTCACAAAGCTCTTAGAGATCACATGCATCAGAGGCAGCGAGGTGACCCAGTGGATAGAGTACTAGACTTCAGAGTCTGGACCCAAGTTTAAATCTAGCCTCAGACACTTACTAGCTGTGCGACTCTGGGCAAGTCACTTAACTGTGATCTGCCTCAATTTCCCCATCTGTAAAATGGGGATAATAGCACTGGTTGTCATGAAGACAAAATACAAAGCATTTTGCAAACCTTAAAAAGTGCTGTATAAGTGCTATTAATTGTGTTGTATGCATTTAGGATCCACATTCATTTTATAGTAATCTGTGTATATTACCCTCCCTACCATCTCTTGAAGGATTATCTTCTTTTGGTATCTCCCCTAGTGTCTAGTAAATTCTTCTGTAGGTGCTTATTCAATGTTAGTCAAATGTAGACCTCCAGTTGGAAGTCTCTTTACGCCAGACTAAAATTTAGAGTCCCTTGCAGGAGATGGTATGTGAAGCAATTATGCATAAGGGTGGGTTTAGTAGAGATTATCTGCTGTCTCATTTATTAGATCTTGAAAAGGTACAGATACCATCATTTTTTTGGACTGACTTGTTCTAACTCCTATATCCTTGAAGACACAATTAAAATTCAGAAACTTTAACATTTACTTTCCAAACTCAAAAGAAGGAAGCTCCAGGCTGAAAGGTGGTCATTCTGTGTTAAGTGGTCATGTCTCACTGAAGCATTCGTGTAGCAAATGGACTTAAAAGTAGGGAGACTGATGTTGAACCCTGAACTCTGCTTCTAAAATGAGACACATCCATTTAAGCCTTAGTTTCCTCATCTGTCAAATGGGGGTAATTATCTTTGAACTACCTACCACCCTAGTGATAATGCTCTGTAAACTGTGAGGGACTATGGAAATGTTAATAATTTGAGGAAAACAGTGGAAAAGTCAGCACCAGCCCATCTCATTAGTAGCCTTTGATGTTTTTACCCTTAATTCTTAGACTCAAGCAATCTTGTATTATAGAATGATACACAGTAACGCTAATTAGGGAAGACAAATGTATTCTTCCTTCTGTGTGTATTTATTGTGAACAGGCAAAACCAGATCACTAGTGTGGTCATAAAACTACCTGAAGGACCTGATCCTGCAGAAGGTGAGCAGTGACCCTTACCCATGACTAACAAAAAATTCCAAGTGAAGGACCAAAAGAAGTTTAATTACAAATTCAGACTTACACTTTGTGGGGAAAAAAAATGAGCCAGCTCTTTAAGGAACTTTATAAAAGTGCTTGACTTGCTGAGATACTTTTACAGTTACCTGAGTGTTTGAAATTACAGTCGAAGTAAAATTCAAGAGTGAAATTCCAATACAATATTGTATAATCCAGTGCTGCTGTTCCCTGATTAGTTAGTGAAAGCATACATACATACTAGAATTTTGGAGGAAAAAACAAACCTTTAAATTAGAATCTCCCCAAATTTACTGATTTTACAAAAGAGGTGACATTAACATAAGAGTTATCAGAAAGAAAAGGAAAAATACATCAAAATTGAGATAGGACAAAATTAAGAGAGAGAAGTATTATCTCCTTGGTTCATTAGAAATGAATAAAAGCATATGATGGTATTTCCAATTATTAACTGGCTAATTATAAAAGGATATAATTTTTGTTTGTTCAACTGAAACACACATACTGGGGCTTTCATATGACTCTCCTGGGGGCATGTCCTGGTCATGGATTAAAAATTCCCTGTCAAATAAATAAAAGGTAAGGCTTGTCATTAATTGGTCAAAATCCATTGGTATGAAATTAAAATCTGAAAGCTAAACAGAATTCTAATAGGGTTCTTTGAAGTCCTACATACTTAAGAGTCTTGGTATTCTGACACAAACTCATATAAGAACAGTAGTTTATTTGGTTTACATGATGTTTTAAAACCACTATATTTTGATAACTTCTACTAAAAATTTCGCCGTGCTCCCCAGTTTCCCATACCAAGCAGAAGAATGCACCAACTGCTTATTTTACTTCCTTTTTATTTCAATATAACATGCGGTAAAAAATTAACAGGATTTGTTAGCATTTACAATGCTTACAAAGAAAGTGGACTTTCTAAAAGCATTTTTAGTTAAGATTTAAGAAATCTAAACACTTAACAACAAATCTATTTTCAAATGTTTAGTTTGGACCCAAATGTAAGGTGTCATTTGGTAGGTATCTGTATTTCCTGTATATCTGCAGTATTTTCACATAACCTCTGGTTCTTGGGATATCCAGCCCCCAGTTCCCTTGTACAGCAGGAAAGACATATACATGTGGCCACTTAAATTAAAGGAAGAAATGGAATTAAGGGAGACCCCCAGGCTGCAAAAATATATACAAGCATTTGCCTTTTCTGGAACTAAACATTTCATCCATAAAAATATTTAACAGCCAAACCCTATAGAACTAGGGCTATGGCTATTTCAAATATAACTATTCTGTATCTTAAAAATATAGGGCAGAAAGCCTCTTGGGTGATATTTATACATTTTAACACAATATTTCTATGTCTGTAGATGAATCATGATGCATTATGTAGAACAAAAAAAGTCTTCTTTCTTACATTATCTCACTTAATTTTGTAAATCTCTCTCGTAAGTCTCTTAGGTAACTAAATTTCATTATGATAATTCACCTCACCAGGAAATCTTTATAAGGCTTCATTTCCTCCAGAGCCCTTCACATATTGCAAAAAATTGGTCATATTTGGGTAGCTGGTAATTATTTACTCAGTAAGACTGTCTCATATCGAGAATAACACACACATTCAATTGGGTATGGAAATCTGTCTTACCCTACAGGAAAATAGGGGGAGAAGGGGACAAGAGAACAGGGGGTGATAGAGAGCAGGGCAGATTGGGAAAGAGGGTAATCAGAAGCAAATACTTCTGAGGAGGGACAGGGTCAAAAGAAAGAATAGAATAAATGGGAGGGCAGGATAGGATTAAGGGAAATAGAGTTAGTTTTTCACAACATGTCTACTGAGGAAGTGTTTTGCATAACTGCACATGTACAACCTATATTGAGTTGCTTGCCTTTTCAATGAGGGTGGGTGGGGAGGGAGGAAGGGAGAAAATTTGGAACTCAAAAGTTTTAAAAACACATGTTTTAAAAAAAAACATTTTCACATGCATTTGGGAAATAAATACAGGAAATGGGGTACAGAAGTCTATCCTGCTCTACAGGAAAATAGAAGGGGAAGGGGATAAGAGAAGGGAGGGGGGAGAGAGAGAAGAGAAGGCAGACCAGGGGAAGGGGTATTCAGAATGCATGCCATCTTGGGGTGGGGGGAGGGGTGAGAAATTTGGAACTCAAAAACTTGTGGAAGTGAATACTGAAAACTAAAAATAAATAAATTTATATTTAAAAAAAAAAGACTGTCTCATATCCTCGCAACAGGAAAAAATGGCAAGTCTCTGCTTTAAAATCAGCCATGGCTTTAGGAAATCACACTGCATTTCTTGGGATATATTATATGCAAGGGATGTGTAAAAATAAAATAATAAAATCAAACAGGATTGGGAGAGTCTCTTTTCCTTTTTATACTGACAGGCAATCACTGGACAAGGCAGCCTAGTTACTCATATGAAATCTCTGTTTTAAGATTTTAGTGTCTTAGAGCCTAAGTATGCTTAATATCTTAACAGTTTTTTGTTTTTTGCTCCAAGATTCAACTGTGGAAGAAACAAAAATGTTTTCTTGCAAGTGGGGCTATATTCATTTTCTGACAAGCACCACTTACACCTTAGGCTCCATCCCAACTGCAATTGATCCCCAGACAGACTCCATGGGGGCACAATGAGGAAAGACAACACACACACACACACATACATATATACATACATATATATAAAAGACCCAAAGTGCAATAATTAGCAAAAATCAAGTCTAAACTTAAATATTAACGGAAAACAGAAATTAAAAACTGCTTAATTTTAAAGCAAAAGTAGTAATTCAACTAAGCTCAGGCACAACAAAGAACCAAAATGACTACCCTAACATATGATGGGCAAATGATCCGTCTGAATACAGACAGGGAACATTTCACAGGTAACTGAGTAAACACACAGATGGACATTCTTCAAGCAATTCATTTAAAAAAAAAACCTCAAGTTTCCCCCAAAATGAAGATATAATTTGTGGAGATGTTTTACATTTGTATAGTTTGAATTAGAAGGTAAACAACGTATAATGTGGCTTGTTCAACACCACTTAAATGTTTAAAAAAAAAGGAATTATCTGAATATGACACAATTGCAAAGGTCAAGCCTAACAAAAGTCAAGAGATAGAACATCTCTCCTTTTCCACCATGAACATGAATCGGTAAAAATCAAATTGGACATATACAACCTAACCTATTTCAATTCCAGGTGAACTTTTGCAAACAGTAGACAACCGTGGTGTTTATAGAGGGATTTTGTTTGGCTACCTAGCACCTCTCTGAATGCTCCTTCCCTCTGTTTGCTCTGTCCTCAATTAAATTGCTTGTAGTCAAGCTTACCAGACCTGTCTCATGTACACAGCCAATGTGAACAATCCATCCTATTCCCCAGCCACTTTCTTACAGTGTTAGCGATGCCTGGAAAGTTGAGCATTTGCACTAACATGAAAATCCCAATGAGGAGACAAACTTAATAGTATCATGTGCAGGCTGGGATTTAGTTCTGTCTGAATTCATTTTTGAAGTGGCACTGGATGGCAGAAGGTATTTGTGAACAAATGTGAGAGTTCTGAATCACTCCCAGAAGTAACAATCAAAATGATGCAAAATGGAGAACAGTCAGGCCGAGCTGCAGTGAGAATAGGCACATGAGCTGGATGCTTGCTTCTGGTACCCTGGGAGCTGGCTTAAGCTTGAACTGATAATCCCTCTTTACCAAGAGGCTTAAGATGAAGAACCTGCACGTTGCAGCTATAAAGGGACTTTCCAGAATGTCTGCAGCTCCCCCAAAGAAAAATCTACCTCCAAAGGAAAGATCTGACCAAATAAAAGGTTACAGAAACATTCTTGTTGAGTAAACAAGGCGGGTGTCATTGTTGTGTTAACTCTCGAGTTAAGTCAGATTTCATCTGTAGCCATGTCACTTGAAGATCTTATTTCTGCAAGGGCTCGGTAGAAATCCAGAATTACTAGGGCATCAATCGCAATGATAACATTAATTTACTTACACACAAATAACTCTTTAAAACAGTCAGAGTCCAATTTACAAGATGTGCAACAAGCAGAAGAGGTGAAGGACAAACATTGCAAATGAATTCATGTCCTTCAGGGGTGCAAATTCTCAGAGGTTACTCTTGTCCAAATCCTTCTGTTTCCTCAATAGCAAATAACAGTTTTTCCTTCAGTTGTTCATAGCTCTTGTAGGGTGGTAGATCCAAGCGGTTGAAACTAAAAGAAAGAATTATCAGTATGAGGGAAGCAAACTCATAAGGAAAAACAACAAAGAAACTAACAAAATGTTTTACCTGAGGGGCTTAGTTGCTGCCAGAGAAAGAAGACAGTAAAGTTTTACATGATCGCTTCAGGTTTTAGTCTTTTCTCCCTCCTCAGATTACTTTGTATTAACTTATCAGAATACATGTATCCCTACAGTAAAATATAGACTCTTGAGGGACTGTTAGCACCGGAAATAAATATGCCTAGCACAGAGGTGGTAACCAACAAGCATTTATCAAGGACTTAAATAGATAAGGCACTTCTTTCTCTAAAGGCCATCTAAAGGAGATCACAAAGAAAAGTAAAAATAGTGCTTGCCGTCAAGGAGTTACCATTCTAATATGGGAGATAATGTAATGAATAGGTACAGATATCAGAATACACAGAGCAGAGACAATGTAATAAGAGGGGGGCAGACTAGCATTCTTGATGAATTGCATGCCTTCATTATAAGTTTTCTTGTCTACCATGTGGAAGAGGTTGTCTCTGTTAGGAACAGCAAATTGATGTAATTAACAATGGCATTTCTATCTGGAAACTTCAGTCTAGACCCAGTGCTTTGGCACCAGGACCTGGATTGTCCTCTAAGGAACTTTCCCAGTCTTAAAAGTTTATGATTAACAGAGGGAGAGGAGGAAGGAGGAGAGATGATGGGTGTGATACATTACATATTCTGTCAGACACCATCAATGTATTTTGCTGACCTGTTTGATTTATTGTCTTGCTTTTTAATTGTCATTAGCTGAAAATTCAGTACATAATTTATTGATGTTTTCTTCTTTAAATCACCTTTTACTTCCAAAAGACTAGCATCCCCATTAGAAATGTCCCTTGCTGAAACAGATAAGTATTGGAGGGGATGTGGGGCACTAATGCATTGTTGGTAGAGTTGTGAACTGATCCAGTCATTCTGGAGAATAATTTGGAACTATGCTCAAAGGGCAATCAAACTGTGCATACCCTATGATCCAGAAATACCACTGCTAGTCTATATCTCAAAGAGATCCAACAAAAGGGAAAAGAACCCATTTGTACAAAAATATTTATAGAAGCTCTTTTTGTGGTATCAAAGAATTGGAAATTGAGGGGATCTCCATCAATAGGGGAACGGCTGAACAAGTTGTGGTATGTAATAGTGATGGAATATTATTGTGCTATAAGAAATGACAAACAGGATGATTTCAGAAAAACCTAGAAAGACTTACATGAACTGATGCAAAGTGAAGTAAGGAGAACCAAGAGAACGTTGTACACAGTAACAGCAAAATGTTGTACGATGAACTGTGAATGACTTGGATATTGTCAGCAATACAATGATGTAAGACATTCCCAAAGGACTCATGATGAAACATGCTAGCTGCCTCCAGAAAAAGAACTTATATTGTCTGAATACAGGCTGAAGCATACTATTTTTCCTCTTTCTTTTTTTGGTACAAGTCTTCTACAGAATGACTAATGTGGAAATATTTTACATGATTGCATGTGTATAACCTATATCAAACCACTATCTCTGGAACTGTCCTCCCTCAGGAAAAGGGAGAAAGGGGAATAGAATTTGGAACTCAAAACATTAAAAAAATCTGTTTTAACGTGTAATTGGGGAAAAAAATAAAATATGTTAAAAAAAGAAATGTCTTTTATGGAAAGATAATTAAACAAAACAAGCCATGTTAGCATGTCTAATAATGTATGCCTCATTCTGATAGTTCCTCTCTTCCCAGAAGAGGGAGGGGCATGTATCACCATCAGTCCTCAGGAGTCAGTATGAATCACTGAACGTCTGATATCTTTCAATCTTTACACTGCTATCTGAGATCCATATTTTTTGTGATAAATATTATGTATCCTCTAAAATTCTACATATTGAGAAATAATTCAGTAGGTGTAATTTCTTCATTTATGACAAATAATCAGCATATGCTAGTCTGAATGATTCTACTCACCAGGTATGACTTCTAGGTAACCAATTTTCTTTCCCAACTTTTTCAATGCAAAACTTTTGTGGTCCATTGCTCCCTATGACAGAAAAAATTATTTATCAATTTTTGGTGTGTCTGGCCTGGACAGAAAATGAGGCTTTATGCAGTTTTCTACATTTTGGATAACATATTATGTCCCCTAACTGGTAACAGAAAATACAGGAATGTAATATATGGAAAAACTGAAGTATTAATGCTGAAGGAAAAAGGAAAAAAACAACACAATTTCTGGTAATTTACTGTGATCAAAACTTGGTTTAGATCCAGAATTATTCAACCTTTCCCAAGAAGGCTTAGAGCACAAGGCCGAAGTTGCTTCAGAAATTTGGGGTTTTTTCTTCCTCCCAATGAAAAGCATCATATCTCAGTAAGCTCAATACTAACCCCACCTTCTTATGGATGATGAACATCCATGTTAATTCATGTCAATCCAAACATCCATGATATCTCAAATTAAGTTTTTGCCATTATGCTCTAATGGGCACACTACTTTCAGACTCCTAAAGGACATGTTGCTATTTTCTATTCAATTCAATTCAACAGAGTAAAGACCTATGACACACAAGATACCTGCTAAATGTTGTAGAGATAAGGATGAAAAATGACACAAGTCTGTGATTTGGAGGTGTTGATAAAAAATTGGGGGGGGGGCCTAGGCAATGGGTTTAAGTGACTTGCCCACAGTCACACAGCTAGTAAAAGTGTTCTGTGTCCGAGGTCACATTTGAACTCAGGTCCTCCTAAATCCAGGGCCGGTGCTCTATCCACTGTGCCACCTAGCTACGCCTAGTAGTTGATAATTTTAGTCCAGAGCCTGGCACTCAGTGGGCATTTAATAAATGCTTGTTGACTTTCAATCTTTAATCTCTCCCCATCCATTAGCACCTTCCCATTTGACTTTAAACATGGACAACTTTCCCTTGCCAGTCTCAAAGCAAATGAGTTATTTTAAAAATTACTTGCTTGACCCTGCTACTCCTTCTAGCTTCTGTCCTATTTCTCTTTCCTGTCCCCATCTATGACTACAGATAGTGATCTGTGTTCATCATCTTCCTTTCCTCATCATCCATTTTCCCCCTAATTCCCAGTAATCTTGTTTCTACCTCTTCCACCCCAAACTGTTTTCTCAAGGTCATTTTTTAAACAGATCCAGAGGCCTTTCCACTTTCTCCTTCTCTTGTGACTGCCTCTCTGTGGCATCCAAGCCTTCTTTTTAGCACTGTCTCCCTTCATAGCTCCTGTCCCACTATACCATCCTGACTCTTTTCCTTCTCTTTGAGTCATTCTTCTATCTCCTTCACATGTCCTTCATTCTTAGTCTTCTGATTTCTGCTCTCCTCTTCCCTAGAGAGCAGATCTGTTCTTATGCTTTCAATGATCACCTCTATGAGAATATGACTCCAAAATCTAGCCCTGGGTGGGGGAGAAGCATGTACAATAAGCACCTACTATAGCATTAAAAGATCTGGGTTCAATTTACTTCCTGTGTGACCTTGGGCAAGTCAAAGTCACTAAACCTTTCTAAAGTTGAGTTTCCTTATCTGTAAAATGAAGGTTGGATTTGATGATCTCTAGGGTTCCATTCAACCATAATTTTTATGATTTTATTTAACGATCTAATTTCATTTGAAAGTCATATGATTTTTTTCTAAACTCAGCATGCTCCCAAACAAATTTACCATTTTTCTTGATTCCCTAAAAATAATGAGCTTCTCAAGAATAAAAAAAAGGGATTTTGGGGGTGCATTGAATGGGAAGTTTGTTGTGTGTCAAAACAAAATGTATAAAATTTTTTTTTAAACAAAAGCAGTGCAATGATAGGGGAAAAACAACAAGCTCCCCTTCTCACTTTCCTCCCCAGTTCCTGTCAACACTACTGCCATGCACTCCACCTCAAAGCCTTAAGGTTGCCACTGACGCCCCCTCTCACCCTATGACTTGTACTGTTATAGCACTGCTTGCATGCATGTTTTTTCTCTAAGTCTTTAATTATTTCCTCAATTTCGCCTTCTCTCACTAGCAGTACCTAGGCATAATGTTAAAAGTCCACAAAAGACATTTAATAATTAGAACTTTCTGAATTGAATACTTTTCCTAGGGATTAGGGTTATGGTAGTCCTTTGCATTGTTTTAGCAGTCAATTTTCACAAAATGGGTTACCATATTCACCCACTGATGTGAAATACTGGGTTTAATGCCTACAATGAAAATAAATGTGACAGTTCAAAATCATAAGTGAACATGCATAGAAAGGGTGACTTTACACAAACCCAAGTTAATTGAAATTACCTAAAGGAATTACTGCTTTCTATTTTAGTTCTGACAAGATACATACATATACATACACATACATACATACATATGTACTATACCTATCTCTCTCTATATATAAAAAGAGCCCTCTGCGTTACCAATTTCTGGTATTGGAAATATCTGCGTACCCATGAGGTCAGCGAATCCCCCAACCGGCAACCTGCAAGTGCCAGTGACAAACTGCAACAGTCTCATTCTCTTCTCATTGTCAATTTCTTTCACAAACTGTTAAAAAAAGAGCACTTTTAAACATATGGAATGATTATTTTGAAGCAACAAACAATCATACATCAAACACATAAAAACAGCAACATGTAAGGCAAAAATCATCCTGAAGAACCTCCTTCAACACTGCCAGTGCTAGGACTGACCACTTCCTACCTAGCCGACGTCTCACACAACATATTTATCAGGCATAAGAGCTATGCTTCTGACCGCTCTTACCTCAATATTCTCAGCTGTGAGATATTTTAGGGACTACTTTTAGGCTACAAAGAAGTTTTAGCCCTAGAAGCATTCAAGGACAACTTAGATAACCCCTCATCAAAATTATATAGAAAGGATTCCTGCTTCAAATCTGGGTTGGACTAAATGACCTCTAAGGGACCCTTTCAACTCAGATTCTATAAAGGCCTCTTCTGCCAATCTGAGTGTGAGACGGAGAAAGGGGCTGCATTTTGACACTAGCTAGCTGTGATCCCACTATGTTAGGAGCAAATGTCTTAGGCAAAGCACTCCTGACCCTATTCAATATCCCACCCCTTCCCCCCAATTCCCTGACACAGGGGAAATGCAGAAAAAAGAATGGAGAAGTGCCCCCTGGCATTTATATGTACAGCAACACTGTTCAGTATAGATTTTGTTTTATGAAAGAATTGTTGTTTAGAGAACCCTGATCCAGAAGGGTTTGTTCTATTGTCACAATGTTCCCTGTATTTTCAGGGGTATATTTGGGATGCCTAGAGATAGCTGCTGAAACATGCCACAGATAAGTTGGTTGGCAGATACTCTGTCTCTTCCCCTCCTGCTTCTTCTGGGATAGAAGCACGGCACAGTTTAGCAATCCTGAGAACTACTACCCAATGATAATCTTGATCAGGAGCCACTCATTTGTAAATTAACCTTTTCTAATTTGTAGTTGGATTTTCTTTTAGCTCAGCCAAATGTCTTTCAAAAAGAACAATTTACATAGCATTCCCTTAATCAAAGAAATATTTACATTATGCAAGTTCCACTAATCTTTTGATAAAATTTTCAATTCGAACTGATACACACACACACACACACACACACACATACATACACACACACACACACACACACACACACACACACACACACACACACACACCCCAGAAACTTTTTGGGAAAACTATTCTTGTTTCAAAATCAAAAATTTTGATTTTGTTCTGCCATTTATTTTGCAGAAAGATTCCAAAGCCTTCATAAATTTTGTTAATAATGAAAAGCTTTGGCATAACAAACAGTAAACAATGCTTTAGCTATACAACAGCCCAAAACACAAATAATATCACAATATAGAAGAATGTAGTATATTTTAGTTCTATCTTATACCTTGTAAAAAGGGGGTGAATTACCAAAAGTCCTATAAGGACCTTATTATAAGATGCCATTCCAAATGAATGGATCCAGAGGCCTGCAGTATAACCAGAGTCCAGTGTATTTTGTTTTGTGACTTGTGTTCTGTATGATGTAGCATTTTCTAATAAATTATAAACTGTTGACAAAAATAAAAGTGAAAAAAATCAGCTACAAACCTGCCAAAACCACATGATTTGTTTGCTTGTCCTAGTATAATGTCGGTAGATGGCATGTCTCTGCCAGTCATTTAAATCAATCTCTTGCATTCCACACAAAAGTACCTTTGGTGACAGAAAACACATGGTTTATTCAAGGATTTTAGAGATTCATTACAAGCATACTTGATCAGGTCCCATCAATAATAAAAGTATGAAAGAAAATCACTAGCTCAACATGACAGTCTAATAATGTTTAATAATTACTAGCTTTCAAAGCACTAAATCTACTCAGAAGGATTTCAGTTTTAAAATCATATGCCAGGAACTATTATCTACCTTTGATATAAGGTAAGTTTATCTACAGAGGAAAAAGCCACTCATCGAAGACTTTACACAAAGGACCTAGTCCAGTTATACTAATCATTTGAATGGATGTTTAATAAGCATCTAAAATGAACAATATCCTAAGGAGATTGTCAACAATGTCAAATGTCACAGAAGGGCCAAGGAGTACAAGGACTGAGAAAAAAGTCACTGGACTGGATTAAGATCAATAGGAGACTGTATGACCCTGGGCAAGTATCTTAAACCCAACTGCCTCACTTAAAAAAAAAAAAAGATCAATAGTAGAAAGAAGTGATTTTGTCACTGGAGCACATTACAGACCACATGCATATTAAAAGAGGAAACAGATGAGGAATAGTAGTGTTGGGGGACTCTGAATTATCCAGATATCTCTAAAAGCTCTCTCTGCCTAAAAGAGAGCAGCTGATAACTGCTTGACTTGCCTTTATGATAACTTCATCTTCAAATGTCAGATGAACCAACAAAGGGAAATCCTAGCTGATTCTCATTGACAGGAAGGACTTGGTTGTTGGGATGTAAATAATGAAAGTGACCATGCCTTCCTGGAGTTTGTAACAGAAGAAGAAGGAATCTCTGGGCATCACAGGATGCATTCTAGATTTGTGGAAAGTATATTGCAAAGAGTTCAGAGAAAGGACACACAGGATTCCCATGACTAAAATTATGCAGGAATAATCAGCCTAGAGGAAATGGAAGATGCTCAAGAATGAAATTCTGAGGACACAAAGGGAAATAATTCCACGGAAGAAGAAAGAACAAAAGTTATTTGAAGCTGATGAGGGAGGTACAAAAAAAGATGGAGTCTCTCTAGTATATCATGAGGAAAAGGAGGGTCAGAACCTTTTCTTGCAGTGGGTAAGAATATCAGAGAAAAGGCTGAGCTACTCAAGTCTTATTTTGCTTCTTTTTTCTTTGCTAAAGAGACCTCTGTACTAGAAATGGCAAAACAAAAATGTGTGGTCCGAGATAAATGAGAAGATGGTAAGAAAGGACCCAATTGTACTGGATGGATTCAAGTCCCCTAGCTCAGATGAATGATGCCCTCAGGTGGTAAAAGAACTGGCACACAGAATGGCTGAACTCTCATCAGTGATACCTGAGATATGGATAACGGGAGAGGTATCACAAGATCAGGGAAATGCAAATGTCTCAATTTGGGGAAAAAAAAAAGAAGAGGAAGAAGAAGAGAATAACCCACACACTATTCAGCAGTGAATGCTGATTCTTGGAAAGACTCTAAAATGGATCAGTAAGATATGGCAGGTGAACATCTAGAAAGGGAAGGGGTGATCACAAAGAGCTTCTTTAAGAACAGGGCATGCAAATAAATAAATAAATAATAAATTAAAAAGAGAATAGGGCATGTACAACTCACTTTATTACTTTTTTGTTTTATTGGCAGTGTTACTAAACTAATAGATGAAGGGAAAGCTGTTAATACAGTTCACCTGTACTTTAACAAACTCTGATAAAATATTTCATTCTGTTTTTATGGAGAAGATGAGGAAATGTGGACTGGATGACCGACCAATCAAATATGTTCAGAAATAACTTGATGGTAACTCAAAGAGGAGTTATTTATAGTGTGATGCCACTGTGTCAGCAGATATCCAACAGACCCCAGGGACTGTGTTACTAACAATTTTATCTACTATTTGGATAAAATGTAAGATCTACTTTGCAGAAGACACGAAGCTGGTAACTCACTGCAGAATCCAAAAAGATCTTAACAGGCTAGAGTGTTGGGCTAGGTTTAATAAGCTAAAATTGAAAACTGAATAAAATTCAATGCCATGTTTTTATTAATGTACTGAAATTCAACTTCACAAATACAAGATGAAGGAGGCAGAAGACAGCAGTTTATTTAAAAAAGATCTTGGGGTCCTAGTGGACTGAAAGCTTATTGAATTAGCAGTGTGTTACGAAAGCCAAAAGACCTAAAGCAATTTTAGGCAGCGTGTCAGTCATAGTCACTAGGCATAAGGTGAAAGTCACTCTAATACTTTGTCCTTGTAAATCTTCATCTGGAAATTTTGTTCAGTTTGTAACATCATAATATAAGGCATATTGACAAGGTGGAGAGTGTTTAGAGGAGGTAACCAGGTTGATGAGTCCATACAAAAATAAACTGGGGATATTTAGCTTGGAGTAAAGAATATGAAGGGCAGACATAATAGCTGTCTTCTAGAATCTGAAGGGCTGTCATGTGAAGATAGGTTAGATTTACTCTGTTTGGCCCCAAAGGCAGAATGAAGAGCTGGGGTGGGGCGGGGAAAATTTACAAAAAGGCAAGTTTAGGAAACATTTCCTAACAATTAGACCTATGCAAACTGAAATAGACTGCCTGGAGAGGTGCTGTGTTTCCCCTCCTGGGAACTGTTCAAGCAGAGACTAGATGGCTATTTGTCAGAGATATTATGGTTGGGTTTGCTTTCAGGTATAACTGGACTAGAGAGCTGCTGAGGTCCCTTCTAAATCTCAAATTCCGTGACTTGGCAAATAAGAGTTCATCTGTGACTTCTAAAAGTGCAATATGAATGGAAAGCAATACATCATAAAGATATTAATTATAGCTAGTGTGAGGGGTGGCAAGTCAGACAATTAGTCAGTAAAAGCATGTATGTGCCAGGCACTTTGCTAATCCTAAACTTTATACAAAGTGTCCCAAAAGTTTTAAACATTTAAAGTTTAAAAACCATACTAAGACTTTTGGGATACCCTCTACAAATTAGAAAGAATTTACCTATATATAGCATTTATTTTACAATAGAGCTTCATATACATTATCTCAATTCACTTGATCCTTACGACAACCTTGCGAAGTAGGCAGAACAAGAATCCATTTTCAGATGAGCAAACTGATATTCAGTTTGCCCAATTATACAGAAATAATTACAAATTTGGCTTTCTTAAGGACTAGGATCTATAATTCTTTATATGTCATCAAAGGAAAGCGAGATGCTTCTCACCTCTAGTTCCTTAGCATCAAAGTACTGCAGGTACTGCTGGGGGAGGATTTCATTGAAGCCTTCGAAGAAAGCTTGTGTCTGCTCTTCAACACCCCGAGATAATCTCCATTCAGCTACCATTCTGGAGAAGAAGCAAAATATTGTGAATGAAATGCTCAGTGACATTCAGGCATACACTCGATATTCATTCATTCATTCATTCATTTATTTATTTATCTGTTTTTAGGCAATTGTGGTTAAGTGACTTGCCCAGGGTCACACACCTAGTAAGTGTCAAGTGTTTGGTCAGAGGCCGTATTTGAACTCAGGTCCTCCTGACTTCAGGGCCGATGCTCCATCTACTGCGCCACCTAGCTGCCCCTTCAGGCATATACTTGTAATGGATATGACTATTTAGAGACAAAGCACCAAGAGGAAGAGAATAGAAGAGGCAAAGTACAGGTCAATGATCTCGACTTCAATTACTGGGAAAATTCTAGAATGTTGAAGTGATAGCAGTGAAACCATCCCATTTAGCAGGGTTCACACCAGAGTCGGCATGATTTCATCACAAACAGCTCAAGCCAAAAGGCACTTTTACTTTCAAAGTAAAGTACAGCATTAGTTTTTATAGGCAGACTGTGAGGATATCTGTTTTTCTTTGGGGAAAGGAGGGAAAGAATGACCAATTTTATTTTTAAACTAAATTTTTTTTTCCAATTAATAAAAATATGCCTTCTCTTTCTACCTTCCCCTGCCCTCCAATGAAAAAGAAAAGAAAAACACAACCCTTGTAACAAATATGTAGAGTCAAGCACAACAAATTACTGCATTAGCTATATCCAAAACAGTAAGCATCTTAAACCAGCACTCTGAGTCAATCACTTTTCTGTTAGAGAGAAGTAACATGTTTCATTAACCAAGCATCCTCTGGAACTGTGTTTGGTTGCTGTTAAAAGTATACATAATGCCTTAAAAGCTGATTGTCTTTATAATATTGCTGTTATTGTATAGATAGTTCTTGTGGTTTTGCTCACTTTACTCTGCATCAGTGCATAAAAGTCTGTTTTTTCTCTATAAACTGTCTTCCATCATTTCTCACAGCACAACAATTTATTATAAGCTGTTACAAAGCAAAAACTAAGTGGCCATCACTTTAGCATTATATAAAACTTATGTGAATGTATATATGTGAATCATAATCATAAAATGGATAATTCTGATCGCATAGAATTAATGTTTCCCCTCCCACAAAGAAAACCAATGAAATTAAATTTTGTAGGGAAATAACTAGAAAAAAATCTTTGCAACAAGTTTGTCTGATAAGGGTTTCATTTCTAAAATTTATAAAAGTGTTGATTTAAATTTATAAGAACAAAAGCCATTCCCTAATAGATAAATGGTCAAATGATATGAACAAGGTAATTTTCAAATGAAGAAGTACATGCTATCACCAACCATACAAATAAATGTACCAAATCACTAACAACAGAATAATGAACATTAAAATAATGTGGAGGTTCCAGCTAATATTCATCAGTCGACAAAGATGACAAAAAGAGAAAATGACAATGCTGATGGGGCTGTGGGAAAATAGGCACAATAATAAACTACTGGAGCTATAAATTAACCAATCTAGAAAGCAATTTGGAACCATTGTTTAATAAGAAGTTATTAAACTTCCTTGACTGAGAAATACCACTGTTTGGCATAGGAGGCTCCCTACCTTCTCATGATAATAGAACAAATGAAAGAGGAAAAAGGACCCATATATACAAAAATATTTAAGAGACACTCTTTTTGCAGCAGCATAGATCTAGAAATCAAGGGGATGCCCATTAATTGGGAAAATGGTTGAATAAATTATAGTATACTGATGTAATGGAATACTATTGTGCAATAAAAATGATGAAAAAGATGGCTCCAGAAAAACCGGGAAAGACATTCTGATGAATAACGAAGAAAGAAGAACCAGGAGAACATTCTATTTATTACAAGAGTTGTGTGTGTGTATAAAATTCAGAGAGCTGGGAAGAAGAGAAAATAAATACCTACTGACTGAAAAAAATTTAATTTAATTAAAAAAAAATACCCACGTGTAGTTAAGAAGAAAGCCTTTACTCAAAAATCAAACCAAAAACTCTTCAGTTTTAATAATTAAGACTTCAAAATATAAAAGTCTACCCTAAATTAAAATTTTAATATACTTCTAAAATTGTTAAATTTAGGTGGACTGAGCAGACATGTTAAAAATCTTTTCTAACACTCAGTTTGATAATCTGTGGTAACCTGGCCCCTCTTATGAACATTTAAAAAATAAGAGTAATCAGTCTTTTAAAATTAAGACCATGTGTTCATTTTTTAGTTAACTTGCTGAAAGTTTCAAGAAAGGAGCCAAGATGATGAGAGGAACAATATAAAGAGTACATTTTCTCTTACCTAATGTATTCTTCTTTATTTTCTTCTGTTACTAGAATATTACTGCCATTGGGTTTCAGTTCATGACTCTTAATTTCACCAAGAATTTCCTTATCAACTGAGAAGTACATCTCTAAACCACATTCTTCGATATTGTTTTCTCTGTTAAAAAATTGATACAACATAGAATCCATTATTTATTCCCTGAACAACTCAATTATGTTTTGAAGGAACTGCATTTCTAACTATGAAATGGTAATTAAATCGAATTAACAAAGTAAAATAAAGAATTAGGAAATTATGTTCTTTAGTCATTACACCTTTGTCCAAATCTACAAGTCCTTAGTCACATTTCTATCAAGTTTATTATAAAGCATAATGAAAAAAAGAAAAGTTTAGTTTAGGGTAGGCTCAATTCCAAAAATAAATTACACTTCAATGATTTGGTGGCAATTAGGAAATGAAAAATTAAGGCACCTGAACTGCAATTTCACAAAGTAAACTAATCAGAAACTTACTTAACCCAGATGAGAGAATTGTAAAATTCTGGATCAATAGATTCTAGGTCCTTGAGTCCAACAGGTTTATTCAAGATACGTTTATAGAATGGCAAAGAAAAGCCTGTATCTATGAATTTTCCATGGAATAATGCCTGAAGAATAAGAAAAAGATTTAATTCACAGAATTCTTATACAATGAATTCAGCATTCAAACTGTTAAAAGCAACCATAATAATGTAATGTGACAGTAAACTTGTATTACTCTAGTGCCCAATGGTCAAAATACAGGAAAGCCAACTCAGAGAAAAATTTAACAAGCTCTGTGAATGAGAGTGAAGTAGACTGCCATAACAATAATAGGTCATACCAATCCTATGAAGTAGGTAGTTATACCATATTTTTAGTTTACAAATGAATAAACTGAGTCTCCGAGAAGTTGAATAATTTGTCATGGTCACACATATGTAGTTAAGTGTCCCAGATGGGCCTCAAACCCAGCCTTCTGACTCTATTCTGCTATTTTATCCATTACACCAGCCTCTAGTGCCCTGTGACTGGCAGTTTTCAAAGAGAGGGTAAACAACTATTTTTGAGGATGGTAGAATTGCAGGGCTCTAGCTCAGGGTTTGAACACATAAACTCAGATGTCCTTTCCAATTCAAAGATTTTGTGAATAACTACAAAATTCTGGAATATCAGCTGCTAAGCCCAACATTAGGAGCATGTAGTAATAATTTTACTATTTTCTGGGAAATTTTCAAATAAGAGAGTTCGAAAATATGTCCTGTAGATATGCTATGCTCTCAACTTCAACTTACCATGGCAATAAACCTGCCAATAAAACGAAAGTATTTCAGATGGTCTGGATTGATATAAGAAGCTGGGTTTATTTGCAAGCAGTAATTATCCTTCCCTGCATATTCAAACAGGCAATACATTGGGTTCAGCACTTCATGTGACAAAAGAAAGAACCATTCTCTGAAATTAAAAGAAAATTTATGGTAAAAACCTTTAAAATAACCCATTTACAAATCAAAGTACAGTCCAAAAAACAAACTGCTCAGTTGTTAGCATTCCCCCTCCCCCAACAGATGTTGACTTTGCAAACCTCCAACGAAATTTCAATTATTTATGTATGCATATGTGTGTATGTGTATGTACAGACAGCCAAGGTTTTACCAGCTCATTAATGCAAATATAAACTTAGAAGTTTCTAAAAAATAGTTAAAGCTCCCACATGGTTGAAGTGTGTCCTGTATCATCTCACCTTCCGCCACTCAATATGGCTGGAATATGAATTCCCATTCCTCCTCTACCAACCTACTTTCTTTACCTGTCTTCATATACCTCCTTAAAGGCTCCACTCAGTCACCACCTCTTCCATGACCCTAATAGTCCTCTTTGTAATCACTTTTTCTTCTGTACTTTCATGACACATTGTTTGTACATCTTTCCTTATGCAATTATTTTATTGTACTCTGTATTATTATTATCTCCTGGTCCATCTTTTCTACCTTGAAGGCAGGGACCCACATCTTATTTATTGTTACATCTCTCTGGCATCCAACAATAATGCTCTGTACACAGAAGACACTTGATGAATGCTTGATGAATACCAAATGATTGTGGACAGGCACATGGTCTTACTAGACTTAATTCAGCCATGGACTCCCAAGTATGACTCCTGGCAATTCACAAATTCTTATTCCTAAGTTTCTCTAAGATAAGTCTGACCTTACTAACTCAGAGAAGTATTGAAATGGTTAAAAGAGCAGTAAGAATACAGCATTTGTGAAGAGCAGTAGTGTAAAATAAGTCTAGAAATGAAGTTGAGGGTCAGAATTTACAAGGCTTTAAATGCCATGCCGAGGAGTCTGCATTTTATCCAAGAAGCAAGAGGGAGTGATTACAGATTCTTGAGCAGATAAGCAAGAGAGTCAAGCCTGTAATTTAGGAGACTGGAAGTAGGAACAGTATTAGAAAGCAGAACTACATCAGGATGGTGTCCATGAGAACAGAGAGGAGAGGATGAAGAGATGATATCGAGATAGAACTAACAAAATTTGGCAAATGATTAGACATGGAAGGGGAAGAGAAGTGAAGAATCAAGGATAATTTTGAGGCTAAAAAATCTAGGTGAATGGGAGAATGCTGGTATCCTTCAGACAATTAGGAAATTGTATAGAGATGGGTTTGGGAGAGAAGACAGTAACATTTTGGACATGTGAGTATGGCATGCCTAAAAGAAGGTAGTTGCTTTGATTATCCCATTTACAGTTGAAGAAACTGCAGCAAACAGAGGTTAAATAACTTGCCCAGGGTCACACAGCTAGTAAGTGTCTGAAGGTCTTGAATTCAGGTCTTCCTGACTCCAGGTCCAGTGCCCTATGCACTGTGGTGCCACCTAGCACCCTAGACAGGCAGGAAGTGAATGAGGAAAGGGCAATGGCACAAAAGCTGCAGAAAAGACTAAGGAGGATGAGAAGTTTTTGAGAAAAGGTCACACGACTTAACAGTAGAGCAATAGTAACATCAAGAAAGCAGTTTTTAGTTGAGTTTAGAATGAAACAAGCAGTTTTTTTATCTAAAACTTCCTATACACCTTTGATCACATACTAATAATGTAAAGAGGTCAGGAAATACAAGAGATTTCTTAATTCTTATTCCTCAATTTTCCCAAATCAAAGATGGGAGGAATATCCTAATATAAAAAATGTACTAATTCCATTGTAAAAAAGAAACTAAATTCTTAGTAACCAGATAATCACTACCTTGCCACACCTCCATAATCTAAACCTTCTTCTCCTGGAAAAATCACCCACAAACGTCTTCGAAGATCCTGGGGATTGAAACTCATTATCTATAAAAAAAGAACAATTTGTTATTAAAAGCCTCTTAAAGAACTATGTAAATATCACTTTTAGGAAGTATATCTTCCTCCTAAATTCTACAGACTTTAAGGACAGACAAGAGTAGTGTTTATATATACACACACTTTCAGTGAGTACATGAATTCACTTTTTTTGTGAATCTACTAGAGTTTAATGTGTCTAGCTGGTTCAGTTGACCACAACATGATGCCAGTGTAACCAAGATCATGGACTTAATTCCCTAGAATAAGCAGTGAAAAGATAATCAGTTCCATAGCCACAGACTGCACCCCTGAAACTAGGTTATTTTACATATGTGTGCCCATAGCCCCAGTGTATGGAGAATTACTCTATCAGAATTGCAAAAATAACCCTGACCATACATATCTTACATAGAATCAATAACTCTTCAAGCATGAAGTACAACACATTAGTATTATGTTACACTGGGAACACTATCAACTTCTGTGCCTTAGTTTTTCTATCTATAAAAAGTGGGTTACTACTACCTGATTCAAATTTGGTTTGTAAAGTACTAAAAATTCTTAAATGTAAATCAAATCTCATTTTCTCTTAGAAAAAGGTATATCAGGAATTGAGATTGTAGGTTAATATAGCTACAGCACTAAAAATATAATTTTTAAAATCAGAGTAGATTAAAAAAAAAACCTATCTATTCCCAGACCGTCTGATGGGCCAGAAGAAAAAAATATTAAATTCCAAATATAGATCCATGTCAAAGTCAAATAAGAAAACTAAATGTTAAAAGCTATGAGTTTAAGATACAAAGAATTACAAGTATTGAAAACAGTTTTAGGGAAGGGTCAATTGGAGAAGGGAATAAAAAATATGAGAGATGTGTTAAGCATTAAAAAGAGAGTTAAGTAACAGTATTCCCCATTAATATCTAATATCTTTAAAAATTCACAAATATGCTCTCCTCATAGTTTCTTTCAACAGGCAGATACAGTAAGAAAATAAAACTTAATATGTCTAGGTCATCATTTATCCTGCTACCAAAGAGTTTTGATGTTAATTTTCAAGCCAAATTTGTCACCTTTGCATTCTTAATGAATGATACTCTAATAATGATTGCTAGTTCCTCCCTGAGAGTTTCTAAAAATATATATAGCAATGCTTTATTATTCTCCTTCTGTCCTCTATTGCTTCTACTGATCTTCAAAGTTTCCAAGAAACATAACTACAAATAAGCTAGTCAACAGAGGCTGATTATCCAGATGACAGTAAGTATAAATTTAAGCAGAAAATAGAGGCAGGGAAAAATGAAATGTTGCTGTGCCTGACAATGAGTTCACTGAATTTAAGGAAAATCTCTTCTTCCTTGGAAGGCCCAAGGTTCATCATAAACTTGGGAGATTCAGGCTAAGCAGCTGTCTTGACTGAGATCACTTCAGTGACAAGTCCACAGGTCCTAATTCTAACACAGAGCTGAAATTCTGAGAGAGGGACAGGCAAAGAGAAGCTGTTCCTAAGCATCAATCCTGTCTCCAGGCATTTGATGACGCACCACGATACCTGCTGAAATGAATCTTCAAACAAAGTTTTTCTTGTCACTGTAATCTTGATGTGCTGTGGCATAGCCAATTGCTGAAATATAAATGATTCAAGTAAAACATTAAAGCCAATTATCAAATAATGAGGGTGAAATGTACATTTAACACGGTACCAATAAAAAAGTGGTTGTTGTATGAATCTGAATTTATCTTTTTTACATCTAGGTGTGTATTTAAGAATATCAATGAGAATTAAAGCACATCTGCAAGAAACATAAACAAGTAAAACTCAGAAAGTTACAGGTGCTTTTGCAATAATATATTGCCTAACTGTATGTTCTAAATGGTACTTCAGATAATTCATTCCTACTAGTTACTTTTTCTTTGACTAATTTCTCCTTAGAGTCATAAGAATCTAAGCTATAACTACTAATCTAAAGTAATGGTTATCGTAGTCAAATGTTAACTATTAAATTCATCGCACTAAAAAAAAAGTAATGAATTGAAATAAAACCAAATTTGATGCAAAAAATAAATCATCCAACACTAATTCATTTAAATCAATCATTTTGGTTAAGGAATTTAGTTCAGATAAAAGGTAACTGATGTACTTAACTACATTAAAAAAAAATGGGCGCAAGCATATTATCATTCTCATGACCAATCACATCCTGATCACTTCTGTAAAACTATTAATAATCACTTATGTTTTGGACCAAAGGGCTGCAAAAAATGTCTTTTATCATCATTAATGGCTTTAGACTCTTCTGTAAATGTGTAAAGTCATGCAATCTCCCAAACCTAATCAGGCCAAATTCTCTACCAACAGATCAGGGAAAAGGTCTCTAATTACATGAGGAAATATTTTGCAGATCTGTATAGGGTAGGAAGATATCATTCCCTTCCCCAGGCAGAAGTGGAACTCTACGTCCATTATATCCTCCCTTAAAAAAAAAATCAGCCCACAATGATCTCTTCTCCTCTTTAACTCCTTTTGCAGTTAACTGTTCTACGTAATTAGTACATTGTGCAGAATGTACATTTGTCACTATTTCCTAATAAAAATAATTACTACTCTACATATAAAAAATTGCTGAAATATTCTAAGTGAGCACTTATATAATAAAAACATGTTACCTATTAACGCTAATTGTAAAATGCTAATTTGTGCAGTACTCAATTTAGTGCATTACATAAATATGATATCGTTGTTGCATATAATACTGTCTTGTCCTCTATTAATTGCATATTTTGTCTCTCCAGAGACACTATAAGTTCCATGATGGGTGGTAGCTGTATCTTCAACTTCTTTTGCACCCAATGACATTAAGTACAAACATATTATTAGAGTTCCATGAACACCTATTGATGGGCTGATACTGTAAGAAAGTTAACTGTAATTAGAAGAGAATAGCATGTTTACTTCTGGTACTAAATTTCTTTAGATCCTGACAATCACTGACATGTTGATCAATACTTGTGCTCTAAATAAATAATGACAAATATGAAAAGGGCTGGTAAAAAAAAATACTTCATAGGCCTTAAAATGCTAGTGATGATGATGGTGAATGTTTCTGAAGATTTGGGGGAATCAATTTTCAAAAGGCTGACCTGATAATGTGAAAAGATACTTATGTACTCACTCACTTTATACTATCTCAGATACCATTTTGCTTTTTAAAAAAAGGATGAAAACGGGTATCAAACTGGGATGGAGTCTCCTCCATTAATCAAGAGGAAGGGAAAAGATTCTATTGTCTAAAAAACCCCTTATTTTCCCATCTTCTTATGTGATAGCTATTTCATAACTGCCTAATTAGAAGTAGCTTAAAAAGTTGTAAAGAAACATTTTATGATACTGACCTGACACCAGAAACGGAAATAGTGAACTTTTGCCTTGAAATCCCTAACATAGGCTATTTGGGGTCCATTATCTCTGAGAACAGAAAAGAAAAAGAATTGAGAACATATCACTCCTGTCATTAGTATACCTCCTTATTCTGACACAACTGAAACAAAACTTATTTAAGTAACTGCAAAAATAACTGAACTATACAGCTTAGTAGCTAGCTACCATACGAGCTAGTGTTCAAACTGGACACATGAGACTAAGAAAACCACAAATATTATCCCATATGAAATGCAATTCCCCCTCTAATCCATCCTCCTCAATGAGAGCTTTTATGATTCAATTCCAAAAGCTTAGTTCTATCTTAAAACATGAATACTTTTTGGCATGCAATAGGTAGAGAGTAATGAATACGCTAAAAATCAAAAAGGACTGGAAATGAGTAGAAATCAGAGAATTTGGATTCATCTGTTGAGTAGTATAAGGATAATGATTTCTATAGAATAACACGCAGTGCTTTGTTTGGCAGATGGTGGCCAGTAGGTAAAGACTTCAGGACACAGTGTCCTGTAAAAGCAAATAAAAATACTAAATACTTAGTAGAAAGAGAAAGGCTAGAATGTAGTTTCCAAGGAAATAAAACTCCTACCCCTGTGCATCAAGAATTGTGAAACAAAAAACAAATGCGCAAAACTTTTTTATACTGCAACATGCAATTCAAAGAGCTTAATGTTAATTTGCGATTTTCAGAATGCTTACAGAGCAGATTTTCCCGTTCGGGGATCTATATAGGTTGTCGTTCTCCTATTGTGATCCACAAAATATGGAACTCCATCCACAGTAAATCTCATTTCCCAGCCTTCCGGTAAAGGCTTCTCATTTAACTGACTGAAAAACATGAAAATACAAAACCAGTTAGACAGTACTAATACTGTATGGTGGTTGCCAAGTACAGAAACTAGAAACAAGGGCAAATGTGAGGAAAAACCTTCTAGAATGTCGCCTCTAAGTTGTAGCATTTCTGTGACTGGCTTCATTTATGTTCTATGGAAAACTCTTCTGGTAATGCCAACAAACAAGTTTATCTAATGAATTTGAGCATTTGAACTTTTACAAGTATAGAATGTAACGAATAGGGAATTACTTAACACTTTCTAGTGGTGTTTATTGTTTTGCCTTTAGATACCAGAAAAAGCATTTTACTAATGCTGTCACTGTCACAGGAGTGATTTTTCACGGGCTAATAACAATTTTCTCTGTTGTACTAAACAGATTTTATTCCTAATTAGAATCTTACAGTCTCAAAGCTGGAAGAAAACTTAAGGTCATCTAATCCAATCTTACCTAAAACAGGAAAATCCTCTTACACATCACTAATAGGAAGTCATCCAACTTCTCCCTTGACAAGTGACAAGTGGCAAGGAACTCATGACCACAGAAGGCAGCATACTCCATTTTTGGACAGCTCTGAGCATGAGAAAGTTCTTCCATTTATGGAGGTGAAATTTGCCTTTCTGCAACCTTTTCACAATTTATGTCCTCCAGGGTCAAGCAAAATAAAACTATTACAATAGTTCCTATTTCACACGATACATTTTCTTTCCCCTTGCCCCTTGAAAGTTTTCTCTTCATTAAGTTAAACATCCCCAAGTTCCTTTTCTTTTTCTTTTTTTCTTTTTTGATGGGCAATCAAGGTTAAGTGACTTGCCCAGGGTCACACAACTAGTAAGTGTTATATGTCTGAGGCCACATTTGAACCCAAGTTCTCCTGACTCCAATGCCAAAGCTCTATCCACTGAGCCACCTATCTGCCCCACCCAAGTTCCTTTCATATATCATTCAGCCTTCAACACCTGTTTCATCAAACCTTCTCTTTGAATTAAGAAGACTGGGTTAAAGTGTAAGGAGATATATATACATATATATCAATACAAACTGATTACTCTTACTGGAAACACAATTCCAAGTGTTAGTTAAATCAATCAACAGCATTTATTAAGCACCTGCTATGTTCAAAGCACTGTGTTAAATGCTAGGTATATACAAAGAAAAGTAAAAGTCCCTACTCTCAAGGACCTCACAGTTTAACAAGGGGGGGGGGGAAGGGAGTAGAATCAACATGCAAACAACTATGTACAAACAGGATACATATTGGACAAGTTCGAGATAATCGAGAGAGTAAACACACTAGCATTAAAGGGGGCTGGAAAAGGTTTATTGTATACAGTAGGATTTTACCTGGAAAAAGGAATTGAACCTAGATCGGGGGTTCTTAAGTGTCTGAAAACTTCCTTTCTCAGTTTTTTGTTTTCAACATAATTGATTTCTTTAGTAATCTAAGGACTTTATTTAACACATTTAAAAACTATATTCTGGGAAGGGATCCATAGTTTCACCAGATTGCCAAAAGTTCCATGACACAAACAAGTTAAGAACCCCTGCCCTAAACTACAGAATTCTCTAAGCAAAGGGAATATTTAAAATGTCTCCTTGTATTTCAAGAACGTTATCTGGTTAGAAGTATCATCTACCCTTCCCTTTATGCCACCATCCTCTACTATCTCCTCTTTTACTCCAGTCTCTAATGATGAGTCAAGGCCAACCCTTCCCTTTCCATGTAACCTTGATCTCGTCCCTTTCTATCTCCTCCAACAAACTGTCCCCACTGTCATCCCAACTCTTTCTTTAACTTTTAACCTCTGCCTATCTACTGAAACTTCCCTACTGTCCACAAATCTGCTCAAGTCTCTGCTACCTTTTAAAAAAACCTCACTGGAGCCTACCCTTCCCACTAGCTGTCATCCTTTGTCTCTCCTTCCTTTCTCACCTAAAATCACTGAAAGAGTCTGATATACTTGGTGCCTCCACATCTTTTCACTTTCCTGAATACTGTGAAATCTGATGTTCAACCTCCATTTATCATAGGATTCTTTTTGACTATAATCATTTGCTTCTTTTTTATAGCAGGGGGTTTTTTAGGGGGAGGCGGATCTCTTGGCTTTTAACTGGGGGGGCAAGTTTGAGGGAGAAGAGATAGGGAGTTATTGATACTTATCCCACTCCTGTACAAAAGAGGCCACTGAACCTTAAAAAAATAGAAAGACAGACTAGATCTCCCTTTTGTGCCAAGTCTGGAAACACAGGAGCTATTTACGCACCTGATCCCACTCTGGTTGGCAAGTGAGCTTTGATGTGCTCCATTTTCAACTTAGGCCAATTCACCCTCCTCAGATGACCTTGGGGTATTTCAAAAGCAGAATTGGCCACATGGAAAAAGATGTACAAAAATTCACTTAAGAAAAGAACTCCTTAAAAATTGAACTGACTGGCCCTGGAATCAGGAGGACCAGAGTTCAAATCTGGCCTCACACATAAAACACTCACTAGTTGTGTGACTCTGGGCAAGTCAATTAACCCCAACTGCCTCATAAGAACAAACCAAAAACAACTGCAAAACAAACAAAAAACTGAATTGGCCAAATGGAGAAAAAAAAAGGTATAAAAGCTCTCTGAAGAAAATAATTCCTTAAAAGTTAGAATAGGGAAAGTGGAAGCTAATGACTCCACAAAAAGAAACAATAAAACAAAATCAAAAGAATGGGGAAAAAAAAGAAAATGTGAACTATTCTTGTTGGGGAAAACAACTGACAGGGAACATGGATCAAGGAGAGAGAATTTAAAAATTATTGGACTACCTGAAAGTTATGATCAAGGAAAAAATATTGAGAAAATACTGCTAGTTGCTAGACAGAAAAATTCAAATATCATGGAGTCACAGTCAGGATAACATATGTTTCAGCAGTTTCTACATTAAAGGAGCAGAGAACTTAAAATACGATATTCTGAAGGGTAAAGGAACTAGGATTACAACCAAGAATCACTTACCCAACAAAATCAAGTACAATCCTTTGGGGGGGAAATGGATATTTAATGAAATAGAGGACTTTTAAGCATTTCTGATGAAAAGACAAAGCTGAACAGAAAATGTGACTTTCACTTGCAAGACTCGAAAGAAGTATAAAAAGGTAAACAGGAAAGAGAAATCATAAGGAATTCAGTAAGGTTAAACTGTTTAAATTCGTACATGGGAATATGATACTTATAAGTCCTAAGAACTTTCTCATTAAGGTAGTTAGAAGGAACACATATAGTACATACCATTCCATACCTACCAGAATTATTAATGTGACAGAAAAGAAAAATGACAAATGTTGGAGGGGATGTGGGAAAATTGAGACACTAATGCACTGTTGGCAGAATTGTGAACTGATTCAACCATTCTGGTAAATAACTTGGAACTATGCTGAAAGACCATGCATACTCCCTTTGATCCAGTAATACCACTACTAGGTCTGTATCCCAAAGAGATAAAAAACAAAAAAGGAAAGGACCTATATGTACAAATATACTTGTAGTAGCTTTTTTTATGGTGGCACATAACTAGAAATTAAAGGAATGCTCATCAACTGGGTAATGGCTGAACAAATTGTGTTATATGATTGTGATGGAATACTATTGTACTATAAGAAATGATGAGCAGGATGCTCTTAGAAAAACCTGCTAAGACCTACATGAACTAATGCAAACTGAAATGAGCAGAACCAGGAGAACATTGTACACAGTAACAGTAATACTATATCATGATCAACTGTGAATGATTTAGCTATTCTCAGCAATACAATGATCTCAGATAATTCCAAAGGACTTATGATGAAAAATATCCATTTCCACAGAAAGGACTAATAGAGTCTGAATGTAGATTGAAGCATACTTTTAAAAAAATCTTATTTTTCTTGTGTTTCCCCCTCTTTTCGGTCTGTATTTTCTTTCACAACATGATTAATATGGAAATATGTTTTGCATGACTGTATATGCATGATCTATACAAAACTGCACGCATTCTCAATTACAGGGGAAAAAAGGGAAGGAGGAAGAGAATTTGGAACTCAAAATTTTACAAACGAAAGTCAAAAACAGTTTTTAAATATAATTGGGGAAAATATAAAATATTAAATATATTTTTAAAACAGAAAGGTTTCCTTTTTCAGGGTTCTTATAAATATTAATTCCAAAGTTTCTTGTGTTGAAAATATGTCAATTTGAACACTTCTCTTTAAAGCAAAACAGTGACTGGATTTGGAATAATGATAAAGTTAACAAAAACGATTTCTGGCAGGCTTATGTCTACAATACAGTATAGTATTAACATGCTTTTTTTTGACATGTTCCCCATCCTACCTTTCCTTTAAAATTCTGTTGAGAGTACCACCACTACCTCAGTTATTCATGTTTGAATCTCAGATTTTTTTACTTTTTTCTCTCTTAAACTCCAACCTACAATCACATTCTATCAGTTGCCAAGTCATGTTGATTCTACTTCCCCATTACCTCTCACATCTGTCCCATTCTCAATCCTCAGAGCCACTACCCTACAGCCCCAGGCCTTTATCACCTCTCACGTATGTTATTAATAGCTACTTAACTGCTCTTTCCACCTCCAAACTCCTAGGTCTTTTCTAAGCCATCACTGACATCACTTCTAAAATAACCTTCATCAGGAAAAGTTCCAACCATGCCATCATTCCCTTGCTCAAAAAATTTAGACATTATCTATTTTATTTAAGAAAAATACAAATTCTCTAGGTTGGCACTCAAGGTTCTCAAAAATCTAAATCTAATCTATCTCACTAGCTTTATTTCATGATTCCCCTTAACACAAGTCTACGTTATGGACAAACTAAATGATGTGTTCCCTGAACTTAATTGTTCCATCTACCAAATACATATATTCACATAGGCAATCAGTCTCCCCAGAATAATATATACTACTTTCTGTCTTTCAAAGCTCCACTCAAGTGTTACTAACTCTATATAGCCTTCTCTATGAAATGTTCTCTCCCTCCTCAAATATTCTCAGAGAACTCTGGATCTCTCCTTTGGACCAAGCACTACACCCTAACCTACATCATGTTTATCTGTGTACAGACTGTATTTCCTCTCCTCAGCAGGATCTAAGCTGGAGGAGGGAAGGGACTGTTTTGTTTTTGTCTTTGTACCCTCAGTGCCTAAGATAGTGTTCTGCACATACTAGGGACTTAACATCTGTTCAACTGAATTGTATTATGCAATAAAGTTATAATCTCTCTGTATCTAGGAAACAGAATCCAGCGTGAAGCACACCTCAATAATGAATAATCAAATCTTAGTTAAAAAAAAATTATGAAATTTACAACTGCGTATTTGAATGTTTTCACTGACTACAGCTTAAGTTTCTCTTTTTCTCCCACCTCCACAGAAAAATGTTTCCAACAAAATGGTACCAGTACAAATGAGTCAATCTAAAATGTTTCAATGAATTTTGTCTGTAAGTCAACATTTCTTACACAAAAATTTGGCCACAGAGCATACTGAGCTTGAAATATTTTGCTGTACTTCATATTGTAGTCTGTTTTTTAAAAAGATTGGGTGCTGGGCCTCCCTACCTTGCCCAGGCCAGATCAGGGACCAATGCCGCTCTGGGTGGCCAGGGAGCTCTGAGCTCCTCTTTTCCCAATTTGGGCCAGCTTATCTCTTCTTAAGACAATGTAGTACATGGTCCTGTCCCCATCTCCACCCCTCCCCACCATCGCCCTCCTACTACTGGAGGCTCACCATACATGATGGAGGATTGAATGCAGACATATGTTCTGCTTAACCCCACTGCATCAGTCTTTATGGCAACTGAAATACCAGGCATGTGCCGTCAGACCTCACCACATACTGTTAATGTAGAAACTTTGTTACAAACTCCTGTTCAAGTTGAAAAATTTAGAAAACAATACTCTAAGCTAGCTATGATTTATATCTAGGCAGCTAAATGGCACCATGGATAGAGTACCAAATCTGTAGTCAAGAAGACCTGAATTCAAATTTGACCACAGACACTGACTAGCTGTGTGAATCTGGGCAAGTCACTTAACTTGTCTGTCTCAGTTTCCTCAACTACAAAATGGGGATGACAATAATAGCACCTACCCCCCTGAGTTGGGTGGTTGTTTTTTTTTTTCCCAGTGAGGCATTTGGGGTTAAGTGACTTGCCCAGAGTCACACAGCTTGTGAATGTTATGTGTCTGAGGCCAGATCTGAACTCAGGTCCTCCTGACTCCAGGGCCAGTGCTCTATTCACTGTGCCACCTAGCTGTACCCCCCCCCCCCAAGTTGTTCTGATGATCAAGAAAGATAAATTTTGTAAAGTACTTAAACAGTGCCTAGCAAATACCAGGCACTTAATGAACACTTACTTCTTCCTCAACCCCCTTATGCATACCTTATTATAGCTTCCAAATTCTTATAGAGAAATAATTTAAAACTTTATCCAACTGAGGCAAATAAATAAAAATGAATCAGTAATTGAAAGTTCTTACCCTTGACTTCTGGGATCTTCCCACTGTGTAATGCGTGTGTTGTGATTGACAAAATACACCCTGCCATTGTTGTCTGTTCTCTTCTCTAAAATAAAACAAAATAGAAAGTATTTTAGAACAGTTGTATATTTCCCCCCAAAATAATACAAAGAAACAGCTATAATGATTTATTTAATCCACTGTATTAATTTCTCCATTTTCTGCACCATAGAGGTAAATTTAATACACTTTGTTTAAAATGCTTATGCTACTTCCAAAACCAAGACAAGATTAACATTAAACTATATTTTTCTGAATGTTAATATTAGAAGGTAAGATGACATATCTAGAAATAAGTGTCTTCAGAATCCTATATATAGCACACTGCCATAATGTAATGCAGTACAGACAGACAAATCAAAGAGATCATGCATTTGATTGTTTGGCATCTGCTATAACCTGATTACACAGAGAAAGTCAAGCTACATATATAGGATATGAATATATCTATTTATCTGCATCTATTTAATTTACTATGTTCAAAACAAATTATCAATAGTACTGAAATGTAAACCAGGAAGAGACAAAGCAAAGGAAGAAACTATGGACCAACATCACTAAAATAGTCATCAAACATCTTTAACTCAAGTAGTGAACATTAAAGGTGGCATTTGAACCCACATTCTGTGACCCCAGAGATGATACTCTTTATACTAGTAGTGCCACATTGTCTTTCAAGATTAATTCAACATTAGGAAAATGATAAATATTATAAATCATATTACTATTTAGACTAAGTAGCAGAGATGGGACCAGAACCCAGACCTTCTAATTCTAAATTTATGGCACTATTCATGCAGGATGATGCTTTAAACAAAAAACCTTTAACAAAATTAAGCACACTAATTTGTGTTAAAAGTATAGGAGTAAAATAATCTTTCCTCATTAAATCAAAGTATCTAGCTAAAAACCAAGAGCTGGCTTTATTTTTAAGAGAGAAACAACAGAAGCCTTTTGCAACAACATGAAAAATACAGCAAGAATGCCCACTAGAATATTATAAATCATATTATTAATCAAATAGAAATGACAGTAGCAACAGATATAGATCCTAGGGGCATAGACAGAAAGCTTGCATCATTATCCTAATTACTGCTAGAAATACTAGCAATAATATAAGAAGAAATTGAGGAAGAAGCAAAATTACTTCCTATTTGAAAATGATATAATCATTTAAGGAATTCCAAAGAATCGGTGAAAACTCTGAATAAAGACCATTGATAATACCATTAAAACAGTATACCAAAAAAAAATCTATTAAGTTCATTAGCCTTTCTGTATATTACTAACAAAACCTAGGAGGAATAGATTTGAAGAAAAATTCCAACAGAGATTACTTAGGAAGCATTATACATCTGAGAATGAACTTAACCAAAACAAAGGAAAGATACATAAAAATACCATACACAATTAAAAAAACGCACATTAACATACACATAATAGGAGGAAGTGAAGAAATTAAGATTAATAAGGTTTTATTAGTGATTATTATTTATTAGTGGATAATTTAGAATACATACATATCTTTGTAGTAATAAATACTCACTACATTAAGCTAAATACTATATGCTAAAAGTGAAGTTCCTTTTTTTTTTTTTTAAAGTTTAAGTGGTTAAGTTCTGCTTTCCTTTAGCTCCCTGAAGTTCCTCCTTCCAACAGGGGCAGAAATTGTATTAGTTAATCCACATGTATCATAAAACAGCACTCATAACCACAAATGTCTAGTTACAGAACAAGATTTCTAAAAAAGCAATCTCACTTTGACAGACACGATGATAGACCTGGTCCTAATTCAATACAATACTAAATTTAATAGTTGTCACACCCTAGCAACTCCCCATTACATCCCTGACATGTCCACACTCCAAATGTTGGCAATACTACCAAAGTATACTCAATTTGCTTCAGAAAGTACCTAAACTAACCATAAGTGACCTGCCTTGTCCAACTCAATTACGTTCAGAATGAGTTTCTCAAGATTTCTGTGACCTATAATTCCTGTTTCTATTATAAAAATGAGTTTTATAAATCTGTCATTTGTCTCTGGCTACTGAGGAGTCAGTGGACTTGCTTTCTTTGCAACTGCTTGCCTTGCAAATAAATGTTTATATTCGGAAGTTGTATGACTTGGCCTTTTCTATTTCAGGCAATAAGTTAACAGAGGTCAATGTCTACGGCTGTGACCCATCAAAATCATAAAAATGAATCTATCTGAATTACTCTATAGATTTAGCACTATATCAAAGGGACACTATAGAATTACACAAACTAATAACTACATGTATTTCAAGGAATACAAGGGCAAAGATATCAAGAGACAATGAAGAAAGATTAAGAAGGAATGGGGCTTGGTGTTACTGGGTCTCAAACTATACTAGAAAGCAAGATTTATAAAAGTTATCCAGCACTGGATTAAAAAATAGAAAAACAGATCAGTGAAACAAACAAGTCCTAGAAACAAATGTGTAACAGTGTCAGATCAACTTCAGAACATGAATTACTGAGGACAGTGCTCCTTATTCAGTAAGAACTTCTGGAAAAACTAGAAAACAATTAGGGAAAAACATTTAGATTAGTATCTTTTACCTTATGCCACAAAAAATTCCAAACAACTAAATTATCTAAATATAAAATCATACAATAAAAAATTGTTCACAGGGAAAAATTTCTAATCACACGAAAAATAGAAGAGATCATTAAATGTTCTTATGTTTTCCAACACTCCAAATTCTGTGTATGTTTGTGTTCAACCCTTTTACGTCCCTTTAGATTTGTGTATTTTTCTTCTCACTCATACAAATTATGAGAGATAGCAAATTCCATACACTTCTTCCTTTCTACATTAGGGTAATTACTTCAAATTTCTCATTTCTTTCTCCCACTTAAAACTGTCAAAATAGAGTCAATCTACTCCTCACCCCCCAGGATCTGTTTTTTTTTAATTAACTCTTCAACATCCTTTGAAGACATTAAGGCACTAAAGAAACAGTTGTTTGTTTGTTTCTTCCTGTTGTAATGTTATACATTTATCACACATCCCCTTCCAATTGTTCAAATAATTTACCTTTCTAGCTTCCCTTTGACTTTTTTTTTAAGGCAATTGGGGTTAAGTGACTTGCCCAGGGTCACACAGCTAGTAAGTGTCAAGTGTTTGGTCTGAGGCCAGATTTGAACTCAGGTCCTCCTGACTTCAGGGCCGGTTAGCTGCCCCTTTCCTTTGACTCTTGTGTTTACATTTCAAAGTTCCTAGTCACCTCTGATCCTTTGTGCAGGAAATGTTTGAATCCATTTTCCCCCTAGAGGATTATTGTCAGCTTTCAGGGTAAGTTATCCATCGTTGTAAGACTTTATCTTTTGCTTTGAAGAATTACAAGATTGCTTCTTGTTTATTGTAGCAGCTGCCAGTCCTTGTTTAAACTTGACTATGGTACCTCAGTACCTAAGTATCTTTCTAGATGCTTGAAATCCTTTTTCTTTCGTGTGGGAGCTCTGGATTTTGGCTCTGACATTCCTGGAACTTTTCCTTTGTGAAGTTTCTTTCAGGAAATTATTGGTTTTTGGGGGGGGAGAGGGTGGGGGTGCCTTCATTTTGCCCTCTGGTTCTAACAGATCTTGGTAGTTTTCTTGAAATACGGTGCTCAGACTTTGTTGTTTTTTTAATCATGGTTTTGAGGCTGTCCAATAGTTCTATATATAAATGATCTCTTCTTGATATATTTTCTAGGTCAGCTGTTTCTGACAGCAGATACATTAAATTTTCTTCTAATTTTTCTACTTATTCAAATATTTCTTGTTGTCTCATGGATTCGTTAGCTTCTGTTTGGTCTTTTCAAGTTTCCAGCAAGTCTGTTACTTGGATAAGGTCTATCACTTTCTCTTGTAAACCATTTATTCTCCTCACTATTCTTTCTTCTGAGCTTTTACATTATTTGTTCTCTCTTCATTTCTTTTTTAAACTATTTATTAAAGTAGGGGTCTGCTTCCAGTGTGGAGAATGTACTGTCCCAAGCTTCAGGGGGTTTTGTGCAGCTGTTTTCAGAGATACTTCTAGGGACCTATAAGTTTTCAGTTCCTCCAAAGTGGTATGATCAAGGGTGAGGTGTTTACTCCTTTCCTTGCCTGTGCTCTGGTGTATGAGTGACCACCAGCACTCTTTTCTGCCTTGGAACTGTGAGGAGCATTTTCTCTGCACTGCCACTAAAAGCTCCACCATGCCAGCACTCCTTCTTGCCCCAAGATCACCATCCAGAACTGTGACCCAGATCTAAGCACAGGCAAAGCAAGAGAATCCTGGCTCAGCACCAGCGAAGAGATCCCTGCAATCCCCCTCTGATCAGCCCCTCGATTCCCTCTCAGTTTGTGGGCCGGAAACTCCGGAAGCAGCCTCCACCCCAGAGCTGCAGCCTGGACTGGGGTTGGGACCAAGCTCCTCTCTCACCGTGATCACAGACTTTTCCTACTGACCTTCTAAGTTGTCTTTGGCATTTGTGGGTTGAGAACTCTGGAAATTGCCACAGCTGCCCATGATTCAGTCCTCTGAGGCCTGCCCCAAGGTTCGCTGAGGCCTGGTCTTTGCCTGCATGCCCCACGCTGTATTGCATTGCCCCAGCCCAGCGCAATAGACTTTTCCAATCAACCATCCAGCTTGTCTTGGGCTGTCAATTTGTTCCATTCTATCTTTTTGTGGGTTCTGCTGCTCTAGAATTTGTTTAGAGCCATTTTTTACAGGTATTTGGAGAGGTTTGGGGGAGAGCTCAAGCAGGTCACTGCTTTTACTCTGCCATCTTGGCTCCGCCCCTCAAATCAGAATTTTTAAAATGTACTCAAGACAGCACCTTTAATTACTCAAGAGAGCACCTCTAGAATAGGATAAATCTCACATAAAATAGACAAGAAAAGGCTTTCACAGTGGAAGAGAAGCGGGGGGGGGGAAGGTGAGAGGGAATGAGCAAATCTTTTTCTCATTGGATTTGGCTTAAGGAGGGAATAACATACACATTCAATTAGGTATGGAAATCTATCTCACCCTACAGGAAAATAGGAGAG